CAGCGTGTGGATGGGATTGTAGCACGACTGTCACTCATTTCATAATTTGTTTCTGTCGTTTTGATAGAATTAAATGTAAAGTGTGTTAACCTCGCACATAGAACCCATGTGGGTATGTGACTGTAGACAAGGTTCCTTCACATAGACAGATAAGAATTGTATCCACTTTGACTATTGACTAGAATATATTGTATATACTGTTTGTGTCTATAAAAATATTTTGTGAGACAAAAGTAGTCCATTTTACATGACTGTAATAATACATATACTGTAACGACATTGGTATAATCCTTGACTTTGACAGAGAATTATTTGACAGCGACGCGTGAAACGTCTAGAGCGTCTGCACTGTCTATCTAGAGCGTCTTCACTGTCCTCACTCACTGCCTTACACCGTCTACAGTTTCTACTACACGTACGCTGTCCAGAACACTTTCGACATATACACCGTCTACTACGTCTACACTGTCTATAACGTTCACACCGTCTACAATATTTACTACACGTACACGTTCCAGAACGCTTACGACATATACACCGTCTACGACGTCTGCACTGTCTATAACGTACGACATTACACCGTCTACTATAATAATACACACCGTCTTCTACTACACGTACACGTTCCAGAACGCTTACGACATATACACCGTCTTCTACGTCTACACTGTCTATAACGTTTACACCGTCTACAATATTTACTACACCTACACGTTCCAGAACGCTTACGACATATACATCGTCTACGACGTCTGCACTGTCTATAACGTTTACACCGTCTACAATGTCTACTACACGTACACGTTCAGAACGCTTACGACATATACACCGTCTACGACGTCTGCGCTGTCTATAACGTTTACACCGTCTACAATATCTACTACATGTACACGTTCCAGAACGCTTACGACATATACACCGCCGACGACGTCTGCGCTGTCTATAACGTTCACACCGTCTACAATGTCTACTACACGTACACGTTCCAGAACGCTTACGACATATACACCGTCTACTACGTCTACACTGTCTATAACGTTTACACCGTTTGCAATATCTACTACACGTTCGCTGTCCAGAACACTTACGACATATACACCGTCTACTACGTCTACACTGTCTATAACGCTTACACCGTTTGCAATATCTACTACACGTACGCTGTCCAGAACACTTAAGAGTCTTTTGTCCATAACACATTGGTCTGAGTAACGCTGGCCACGTCGTCGCCATATTCGTGTTCTGCCATCTGCAGTTGATAAGCAGTACCGACTCTCATCTGTGAACAAGAACAGTTCTCCATTGCCTGTATCGCCAGTTTTGGTGTTGTAGGGCAAACTGTAGACGTTCACGCCGATGACGAGGGGTGAGGATAGGTCCACGGTAAGGTCTATGGCAATGGAGGTTCCCGCTGTTAAGACGTCGGCGTACTGTATCAGTACTGATTGGTCTTCCGTGTATGGGGGCGGTGTGGTAGCCTAATGGTTAAAGCGTTCACTCGTCACGCCGAAAACCCGGGATACCCTACATGGGTACAATGTGTGAAGCCCATTTATGGTGTCCCCCGCCGTGATATTGCTGGAATATTGCTCAAAGCGGCGTAAAACTTGTGTCTTGTCGTCTTGTGGTCACCCTTGGTCTGCCAGTTGGTGGCCCGGAAATGTTGCTGCAGCCTGTAGATGGTCCGAACGTTGACCTGGAAGTGATTGGCAACGGCTGTGCAGTGTGGCCAGCTTCAAGTCATCCTAGCGCCTGGTTCCTCTGAGGTGTCGTGAGTCGCGGCATCCTGCTGCCGTTGTAATGTAAATGTTTCAACCAGGTTTGGGGGTGCATTTTATAGGGCTGGTCCTTGTGAACAGCACGTGCAGCATGAGTTGCATGAAAAACATGGAGGACGTCGTACTATCTCCGAGATCAGGTTGCGTTTTTGGGACCATATCCTGGGTTCCATTTTGAGTTTGGGAAGGAAAAGTTGGAGATGTTGTCAAAAATATACAATCGAAACATTAAATGAGTTTACAGTTATCCGTTTCTGCGAAGGAAAATTCCAAACTGACATTTCTTTTGCTGCTTAGTATATTACACGTACACGGTCCAGAACGCTTACGACATATACACCGTCTACGATGTCTACATTGTCTACAACGTGAACGCTTACAACAGAACAAGCAATGTTTTCACACACCTCTGTATTGCTCTACCAGTAATTGTGTTAATAGTCATCGTGGAACCAGGGCTGAGAAGTATGCCATCAATTGGACGTCTGAAGCGGCAGGTTGACAGTTATAAACGAAACGCAATGTCTTGTCATTGCAGGACTTTCAATGGCCACTTTAATTATTTGCGAAGGACAACGAATAATCTCAGTGCGATGTCTTGACTTTATGCTGTTAACCGACATCAGGAAACGCTACTTCATCAAAGAAGCTGGACTGCCATCGCCGCCATGAATATTCTCCTTGGGCGGCCCAAATGTATTTTTCGTGGATTCTAGTTACTTTTTATGATCAGCTGATTGTGGCTGTGAGATCGATTTGATTCGAGAAAGCTCCGCTCTGTAGGAGCTGTGGCAAAATGTCGCAAGAATTACATTTGAGACACGATGGGATTCTGCATAGTAGATTGTGGGCAGCGTGGATAGATGAACACCGTGGTTAACGTGAATTGACGAAAATATCAATTGAAGTGACTGAAAATTATGAAACAGCGCCGTGATGTCCATACCTTAGTAGAGAAACCACCACAGTAACTATAGATCTTTCACATGCGATTCATGACACCATTTTGCCGTCTTCACGCTACTGTATAACGAGTGAGTGAGTGAGTATGGTTTTACAATATATAGCAATATCCCAGCAATATCACGACAGGGGACATCAGAAATGGGCTTCACACATTGTACCTATTGTGTGGAATCGAACCCGGGTCTTCGGTGTGACGGGCGAACGCTTAAATCACTAGGCTACCTCACCGCCCCTACTGTATAACGAAACACTGTCACTGTGCTTACCAACTGACTTAATGAAGTAATTAGGATAAAGATACATTTTCTTCTTCTTCTTCTACTGTATCTTCTTCTGATGATGATAATACTTCTCAAATAAATATTGTCCTCCTTGTTTCTTGAACACAACCGTCGGCGAGATGCTGTGTAGATGTGCAACCTTGGACACGATAGAAACTGGATGGTTGGTCCGAGTCCCGGTTCGCACCGATAATGTTTGTAGGTTTGTTTGCACCATTGCCGCTAAATGGTGAATGTTTTATACCTGCATCACGTCGCGTTTTCCTCACACATCAAGCTTTGATACAAAGCCTTGATACAACTGGAACAGTGTTTGAAGCGGCTCACTCACTAACTCAAACATCCCAAAGTAGGTCAGACGTACCACATGAAACGTCAAAACTCCTAAACAAATTTCCAGATTGGGTACAATACAGGCACTGTCGTTCAATTTTGAGAGATTCATACTTCAATGAACTCACGTACAGCGAATATCATAGCTTAGTTACAATTGTTTTGGAACTTTATGAATATGTGAGTGAGTATGCTTTTACGCCGCTTTTTAGCAATATTCCAGAAATATTACTGCGGGGGACACTAGAAATGGGCTTCACACATTGCACCCATGTGGGGAATCGAACATGGGCCTTTGGCGTGACGAGTGAACTCTTTAACCACTAGGCTACCCCACCAACTCCATCATGAATAAGAAGGGTCGAAAGCTTTCGCCTTGGCACAGGCAAAGTCCAGTTAGTTTAGTTGTTAGTCCATGTACAACAATTGGGTCTTTTATCACATAGGTAGTTCCTGGTGAAGTTGATAATTTCAGGGGTGGAGCGACTCCAATTTCGCTTCATTGTGGCCAAAGTGGCCATTTTCCCTAAACGGCCGCCATTAACATTTTTACGTGTACGTTCTCAAAACAGAGGTTCTCTTATCACATTTTTATAACTGTGTACAGTTAAAGGTCGCTGGACATGTCATATAAAAGTGCATTAGATGTAGTATATAATGAACTGAAACACGATAACACGATGTGAGATTTTCGATGTTCTATTTCGGAAATTATATTAAACAAACCACCGTACAGAGTATACACTGAGTCTGAATTATCCCCTTTTGACGTATTTAGCGTTCATAATTTATGGCTAGGGGGTGATGATGATTTTAAGGTGGGGTCACCATTTTGTTCTTGGGAGGTAGGGGGGTCATCAATTTTGAACACATGTTTCTTGGGGGGGTCATCAATTTTGTACATAAAAATATTTTAAAATTATGCTTAAAAAATATTGGAAGGGGGAGGGGGGGTCATTGATTTTGTACATGACATGCAGGGGGGTCACTTACTTTGTACATAAATTTTAGGGGGTGCATTCACATTGTACACGCTTCTCCATAAAAATCATCATCACCCCCCCTGGCCATAAATGATGAACGGTCCCTAATTGGCGCCAGTATATTGCATAAATATCTAGACAACAGAAATATCTATACATTCATGACAGTGTATTGATATCTTTTGGTAATTTGATATTTTCCAACCAATTTCTTTTTCGTCGTACAACCGAAAATTTGTGTGCATCAATGTATTTTCGATGAAATATTTACGTATCACATATTTAAAGTTCCATCCGTCACTGGGCAAACCAAAATAATATACAGTTTAACATTTCAACAGGCACATAGTATTTGCAACAATTCCCATACCTGGCTTAGGTATGAGTATGTACGTGATTAAATAAACCAGAGTCGGTTTATCAATCAATATCATTGGACAAAACAATTGTCGAGATCGATCACAATTCGTCAGTTGACACACTAGAAGCATCAGGATCCATGTTCAGTGTTCAAGACAGGGATTAGTCGAGACAGCCACACACAGGAATGCGTGCAAACCTGTTTATCGCTCACGACACATTTCACGTTAACTCGGATATCAGCTCAACATCGGACGCGGACGTTCTGCCTGACACTTCAGCAGTTCCAACAGCCGTGACCTTTCGTAACCAGCGGAGTCGTTTTAATCTGGTAATTGGACGTAAAATTGGGACACACTGCCTAGTTTTCCGCTTTAGACGTTGTCACAGTGCTATTGTCAGGGCAGAGGTGAGGTAAGAATGTTTACCAATTCTCGTGTGGTATTTGTAAACAATGATCCTTTTCAGTGTATACTGAACCTCCAAACCTTCGGTGCTGGGTATGGTCTTGTAGCATCAGAACCGTATGGCTAGAATTCGGCCTTGGAGAGGTTATGTGTTTATTTAAGAAAAGCTGGTTCATCAATTTGACAACGATGCTAACGGGTAATAGTTGTAAATAGTGATATTTGTAAAGCACTTGTAGAGCTGGACGTACCCATTTTGAAACATAAGCATATATATGTATGCAAGGGTACCTTGTATGTCATCCTCCTTGGCATTATCGAAACCAAAAGCTGTATACTTCAACTTTGATATTCATGTACATGAAAGTGGTATTAGTAGTATATTTTCAGATCTGGAATTCTAGGCATTATCACAGAAGTATACATCGGCAATGGTAATCATGTATATGATAGTGATGTAGTATATGTTCAGTACTCTAGGCATTATCACAGAGGTATACATCGGCAATGGTAATTATGTATATGGTAGTGCTGTAGTATATGTTCAGTACTCTAGGCATTATCACAGAGGTATACATCGGCAATGGTAATCATGTATATGATAGTTCTGTAGTATATGTTCAGTTCTCTAGGCATTATCACAGAGGTATACATCGGCAATGGTAATCATGTATATGATAGTTCTGTAGTATATGTTCAGTCCAGGCATTATCACAGAGGTATACATCGGCAATGGTAATCATGTATATGATAGTTCTGTAGTACATGTTCAGTACTCCAGGCATTATCACAGAGGTTTACATCAACTACAATATAAAATGTACATGTAAAAGGAAGTGCATCTTAAATGGGTAGCTTCAATAATATAGGCGTTGTCACAGAGTGCTATATATCAACTATGATAATCATGTACATGAAAAAGATGGTATTTTCTCAGAATTCTAAGCATTATCACCGAGTGGTATACATGAACTGTGATCATTAAGTACATGCAAGTGGTCTATAGTACTATGTTCCTGATTCCAGGCATGAATAATAAATAATAACAATAATATTATATAATACAGTATTGTGTATCAAATGTGATATATACTAGACACTAGCTGTGCACACAGGAAATCAAAATGTATTTTGAAACAATATGTGCACACAAATACCAATGCAAAACACAGTTATTTGTGAATTGAACACATATGCACATGCCATGTTCCAAGATGTCAGTGCTTTTCGCAGGGCTTTGTGTTGTGCAACACGTTGTGCATGTGCATCTCGATAAACTGCTTTGAGCGCGTAAATGTCAAAACTGTGACTGGGGAAGCTTAATTGGTACGTTCAGAAACTTAACCGGATAATGAACGGCACCGAATGCCAAGACTGCATCACGTCATGGGGATATTGGGATGGTCCGTTGTCGAGTGTCTTAGGTGGTTGCGCATTTCGATGGCCACCGACGCACTATGTCAGCATTGTCGGGACATTCGAACAATACGTTGCCGAGCGTCCACGTGTAGGATGCCCGTGCGCCACAACGCCAAGACAGGACAGATGGATACGGGTGACCCATCTCCGGCACAGGTTCCAGCTCTGACCACTGCTAAGATCACTCCAGGACAGTCTAGCACAGTCAAGAACCGCGTATGTCATTACGGGATATGACCACGTCGTCCCGCCATACGACCTATCCTGACGCAACGTCATCGAGGAAACTGTCAACGGTCAACCCAGGCTGTGATGGAGGATTGTTTTATTTACAGACGGGTCCAGATTTCACACTTGATACCGTAGTGATGGACGTTAACGTGTCTTCAGGCGTCTTGGGGACAGTTGTGGTCATGCAGGGGTATCGCTTTAGGGTAGTTCCGAGATGATTTGGGGTGTGATGAGTGCACGTCAGGGAACCCCTTCAGTTGTTGTTCAAGGTAATTTGATAGGTGTGGGATAACGGAATCAGATTGTCGGACCAGTGGCAATTCCGTTCGTTCAACTCCATGGCTAGTCTGTCGTACAGACCCTGAAGCAAATATATCCAAGAAAGCCCAAGCAAGTTTAGAAAATGTGGCAAGTCTAGATTTCCTCAGCTTGAATGAAGAAGTCTCAGGGCTCCTTTTCATTATATTTTTCTTTTTTTACTATGAACATTTTTCAGTAAAATATACTCATGCCAATAATGGTTGTCACCCCCACCCAACCCCAACCCCACACCCCACCCCCTCTCCAATTAAAAAAATTGAAGGAGGTGACAACCATTATTGGCATGAGTATATGTTCATTTCAGAGACTAGTTGTTAGTCTACTCCATGGCCTAGGACTGATATTCCAACTGGATAGTGACCATCCTCACACCTCTTGGTTTGCTAAGAATTGTTCCGATTTGGCAGCAGACTTGCAGGGATATGATAAGCCATTCCACAAGCCCTTTATGGCCATTTGGTAGCCTCTTGTGTCTATGCACTACTGTTCTCGGTGCTTGAGTTCGCCATACCCGTTATTGGGTTTGTGACATTGTTGCCTGACCCTTTCCTCGGATTTGGATGTCAATGTCAATGACATGGACATAAACGTGCTGTTTTGCCGTCATTTCATGATCTCAATATCCACCTGTTAAAGTTTACATGGAAACATATCATTGTTATATTTTCAGATCTAAAAAGAATTGTTACAATGCATACCATTTACTTTTTGTGGCTAGTATATATACAGCGGTATTACTCTTACCATTTCGTAGCAACTCATATTCTGCGTAAGTTGGTTTATGTTACATATTTATACCGTTTCTTGCAGTGAGGGAAACATATAACCATGGCTGTATTCAGTAAGCATGACAGCAATGTAAACACACTTGTTTAGTTCTTCATAATATGGCATATATGACGAAGCATATCTAGATACAAATGATTATGCAAAGAACATATATAGCCCAAATCGCGTAGAAGGTGTTTACTGTTTAAATACAGAGTCTGGTCAGATGTATTGTTTTAATATTACACAGTCTAGTCAGATTCACTGTTTAATAGGATCTAGTCAGATTTATTGTTTTAAGACAGAGTCTAGTAAGATTTACTGTTTTAATACACAGTCTAGTCAGATTCACGTTTTGCTGCATCCTCCAGTCAGGCTCAGTTTTACTTCACGATTTAGCCACATCCAAATGAAATATTTTCAAATCGCAACCGTTACTATACAGATAAGGATATGCGGACTAAGTTCATTTCTTGGATTTTCAACCTATGAAAGCTATCAAGACACTCATGCTGGAAGTATGTGGCCTAATTGCTCTGTTCTGTCTCACATTGTGCTTTGGGATAAGGAAATGGTTACGGAAGCCAGAGAAAGTGTGTTTGTTTGGTAAAAACATATGTGAGGAAGTAAGCTAGGTCAGCGCTCACACTGTATATATTAGTCTCTGGTAGCATGGGAAGGGGACGAGGGTGAAATATGTGTCAGTAGATTGAATTTTGGTGTTTTTTCTCTCCAGGAAATGGACGATGTTGTGCAATTCCAGGGCGTCACATGAGGTAAGAAGAAATAGTTCATTTTGGAAAATGAAACTCTTAGGTTTGTTAGACTAGTGATTGCTTCACGCAATGAAAGCTCATTGAACCTAGGTGTTTTTAACAGGAAGCACCAGGCCTGTGAACGTGTCAAGTGTTCTCGTGACTACTTGCTGTAATGTGATTCTTATGTAAGGCCCATTGTTGACGTACGTGTATATTGAGTCGTATGGCACAATAAATTCTCATTGTGAATAATGTATTGCAACAGTGCTTTCTTCTGCGTTACAGAGTGTCCATATCTGTATGTCTGTGTAACTCTGTGTGTACGTGTGTGCTGAAACAACTAGGTTCCTTAATGTTTTGATATTACCATTTATGTTTACTTTATAAAATTCATATAGGTAAATGGAACCACTAGCCACTTATGCTTCTGGCAGAGGAGATTATTAGACGTTTACCACCTGTGCTAATTAATCACTGATACTGAACACTGGCACATATTTTAGATTCGAACTAGCCTCGGCTTCAGCTACGTGCAAAATATCAAAACGTTAGGAGTACTTTATACACTTATTACAAACAGTTTGTATACAAATGTATACATGTCACCTGCAAGACACAAACACGAGTCGCACAAAACATAAACAGGGGTGTTACATACAAAATACAGACACAGGGATGTTACATACACAATACAGACACGGGGATGTTACATACACAATACAGACACAGGGATGTTACAACGGACAGACACAGGGATGTTACAACGGACAGACACAGAACTGTTACATAGAAAATACAGACACAGGGATGTTACATAGAAAATACAGACACAGGGATGTTACATCAACATACAGACACAGGGATGTTACATACAAAATACAGACACAGGGATGTTACACACAAAATACAGACACAGGGATGTTACATCAACATACAGACACAGGGATGTTACACACAAAATACAGACATAGGGATGATACATACAAAATACAGACACAGGCATGTTACATCAACATACAGACACAGGGATGTTACATAGAAAATACAGACACAGGGATGTTACATCAACATACAGACACAGGGATGTTACATAGAAAATACAGACACAGGGATGTTACATCAACATACAGACACAGGGATACACAGACACAGGGATGTTACATAGAAAATACAGACACAGGGATGTTACATCAACATACAGACACAGGGATGTTACACACAAAATACAGACACAGGGATGTTACATACAAAATACAGACACAGGCATGTTACATCAACATACAGACACAGGGATGTTACATAGAAAATACAGACACAGGGATGTTACATAGAAAATACAGACACAGGGATGTTACATAGAAAATACAGACACAGGGATGTTACATCAACATACAGACACAGGGATGTTACATAGAACATACATGTTATACAGAAAATACAGACACAGGGATGTTACATATACAGACACAATACACACAAAATACAGACATAGGGATGACACACAAAATACAAATGTTACATATACAAAATACAATGTACAGACACAGGGATGTTACGTACAGACACAGACATGCATATAAAATGCATACAAAATTTTACATGTTTTACATGTTACATATACAAAATACAGACACAGACATGTTACATATACGAAATACATACATACGTTGCATACACTGGATGTTACATTACGAAAAAATACAGACATGTTACATACAAAATACAGACATACATTCACGGACAGAGACATGTTATATACACCCAATACAGACACATGAATATTACATACAAAAAGCAGGCATGTTGCATACAAAATACAGACACAGACATGTTACATACAAAATACAGATACAGACATGCTACATACAAAATACAGACACAGGGATGTTACATACAAAATACGGACAAATACATATTACATACACAATACAAACACAGACATACTGCATATATCATACCGACACAGACAGGTTGCATACAAAATACAAACACAGACATGTTAATCATAAAATGTTGACAAGATACAGATGGATGGAAGACAAGAACTTGGCATAATGCCAGCGTCATTGCAATGATGACATACATATTCCACCTGATGAATTGCTCAACGAAGATAGTCAAATTGGCGCTTCTTATTCGGAATCTGTTCGGTGCCACTTTCAGCTAAAGTGTCTGGTTCTTTTCAAAAAACATCCGTCTCTAGCCTTAATTTCAAGTAACATGAACCTCCAGCACACAGGAAGAGCGAGGAAGAAAAAACACCTCTGACCAGATCAGTTTGAAGTAACTGGGTTATCACATCCGTACACAGATACACTCTTCGTTTACAGGATATCTCAGGCCCCGTATATATCAAATGCTTATCAGCCAACACATGTACAAAACACATATATAAACACCGTATATGTGAAGAACGTTTGATTCTTATTGGGGTGCTCCGTAATGATCGTATACAAATAGGGGCGTTATAACCAGGGTAGACTGTGAGCAACGAAATCACTGCAGCTTGATACAAATGGTTGTTTTGGACCACAAAATACTTGTATTTTATATGAATTTCACAAAATACTTATTGATTTTCAATTGCCCCTTCACCTAAAACAGACACCATCAGCAACAACACATGACAGTTACAATCCTCTCTTACCAAGGTATACCTGTATACGTAATTCGACTTTCATGGAAATACACTCTTTGATCACAGCTTTTCCATTAAAGCTGCACCATCAAAGACCTGGTTAAGGCATTTCAGTAAGTGAGTTATTTAGTTTTACGCCGCTTTTAGCAATATTTCAGCAATATCACAGTGGGGGACACCAGAAATGGGCTGCACACATTGCCCCCAGTAATCACACATTGTGACACTTTTTTTAATTGATCGGACGGTTATTATCAGGCTTGTGTTGTGATACTGATCATTGGACTATCTTGTCCAGACTTGTTGTCGTCCCATATATGTGTCATCATGATATCTTGCGTTGTCATCCTATATAAGTGTCATCATGATGTCTGGCGTTGTCATCGTATAAAAATGTCGTCATACTGTCTGGCGTTGTCGTCCTATATAGGTGTCATCATAATGTCTGGCGTTGTCATCCTATATAAGTGTCATAATGTCTGATGTTGTCGTCCTATATATGTGTCATCATAATGTCTGGCGTTGTCATCCTATATAAGTGTCATAATGTCTGATGTTGTCGTCCTATATAAGTGTCATCATGATGTCTGGCGTTGTCGTCCGATATAAGTGTCATCATAATGTATGGCGTTGTCATCGTATGTAAGTGTCATAATGTCTGATGTTGTCGTCCTATATATGTGTCATCATAATGTCTGGCGTTGTCATCCTATATAAGTGTCATCATGATGTCTGGCGTTGTCGTCCTATATAAGTGTCATCATAATGTATGGCGTTGTCATCGTATGTAAGTGTCATAATGTCTGATGTTGTCGTCCTATATAAGTGTCATCATGATGTCTGGCGTTGTCGTCCGATATAAGTGTCATCATAATGTATGGCGTTGTCATCGTATGTAAGTGCGTCATAATGTCTGATGTTGTCATCCTATATAAGTGTCATCGATGATGTCTGGCGTTGTCATCCTATATAAGTGTCATGTAAGTGTCATGATGATGATGTGATGTTGTCATCCTATGTCATGGTCATCATGATGTCAGGCGTTGTCGTCCGATATAAGTGTCGTCCTATATAATGTCTGGCGTTGTCGTCCGATGTAAGTGTCATAATGTCTGGCGTTGTGTCATCATGATGTCTGGCGTTGTCGTCCGATATAAGTGTCATCATGATGTTTGGCGTTGTCATCGTATATAAGTGTCATAATGTCTGATGTTGTCATCCTATGTAAGTGTCATGATGATGTATGGCGTTGTCATCGTATATAAGTGTCATCATAATGTATGGCGTTGTCATCGTATATAAGTGTCATAATGTCTGGCGTTGTCGTCCTATATAAGTGTCATCATGATGTCTGACGGTGTCATGGGAAGTAACCAGCATTATCTGTATGTACGGATTCTGTACCCTGGCCATATATGAACAGTTTAAGAAGCATTGCGAGTTAATAATATCCAGCTCAAATTAACACATTTGCAGTTTTGTTCAACAGGTGTATGCTTGGTTTAAATGTATTGCAAGTGACAAAAACATGTCCACAACCAAGAGAAACCTCTGCTAAAGCGGAATAACCCATTTAATGATATCATGAACATGTGTTTATGAATCTGTCACATATGGATGATATCAGGTATTCACGAAAAGGTGAGGAGTATATGGTGCCCCGGTGGCGCCTGTTACAAACGCAAGTAAATTGTTCCCCAGGCAAATAAAAAAATAAAAAAAAGAACAGAAAAACCGGACACGCATATGTTCACTGTCATCAACGTGTACACCATACAACGTTTTGAAGGCCATGCTCAGGCCTAGAATGTTGAAAACTTGTTCAAACAACTTTTTAAATATTTAAAGAGCATGGACGAGAGTTATGAATTGTAGGCACCAAAGGCTGGAGCTGCTTTAAAAACCGTGTTATCCCTCTTGTCCTGGGAAGGTTTTTTGACACTCTGGTTGTTTTATACATAGCTCTTGATATTGAACAATTCAGGCAGTTTCATTGACTTCGTGTTACTCATGCTAACTCTTGTGTAATCATGTTAACTCGTGTTACCCATGCTAACTCTTGTGTAATCATGTTAACTCGTGTTACCCATGCTAACTCTTGTGTAATCATGTTAACTCGTGTTACCCATGCTAACTCTTGTGTAATCATGTTAACTCGTGTTACTCATGCTAACTCTTGTGTAATCATGTTAACTCGTGTTACCCATGTTACATCATGCTTAGTCATGCTTTCTCGTTAACTCAAGTTAACTCACGTTGATCATACTAACAAATGTTACTCATGCCCACTCGTTTTAACTCATTCAGATCAACAGTTTTCGTTAACTAATTGACAACTGTAGTTAAGGTATGTTCTGCTTAGTAAACACACACATGGCTCCCTCATGTGCAGTGTTTAGTAAGGACATACACAGTTTTAGTTAACACGTGCACATATTTAGTTAAGATAATGTCAACTACATATAGGATTTCCATCTAACATATATAAATCTTCCATTAACACCTTATCAAAGAGTGCCTTTCACTACAGGCTCCATTAATCATATCGTAATCTGCAGCTAATTTTGATTTTGCTGGCGTAAGGCGAAGAATCCCCACTTCACTCCAACAGCGAAGAAAGCCCCATGAACGGCTGATATCAGCTGAATGTTTCATGCAACCCCAAACCACATTTGTAGATTTTACGAGCTGCTCGAACACTTACTGAGCTTCTTCAATTGTTGCGAGCATCATCTCCTTGTGTACACATCCACCTGTCCATATACTCACTGAACATGCTAGCTACCTACATCTATCTTGATATTTACTTCCCCATATACACACCTATCTTGATATTTACTTCTCCATATACACACATATCTTGATATTTACTTCTCCACATACACATCTATCTTGATGTTTACTTCTCCATATACACATCTATCTTGATATTTACTTCTCCATATACACACCTATCTTGATATTTACTTCTCCATATACACACCTATCTTGATATTTACTTCTCCATATACACACCTATCTTGATATTTACTTCTCCATATACACACCTATCTTGATATTGACTTCTCCATATACACACCGATCTTGATATTTACTTCTCCATATACACACCTATCTTGATATTTACTTCTCCATACACACACCTATCTTGATATTTACTTCTCCATATACACACCCATCTTGATATTTACTTCTCCATATATACATCTATCTTGATATTTACTTCTCTATATACACACCTATATTGATATTTACTTCTCCATATATACATCTATCTTTATATTTACTTCTCCATATACACATCAATCTTCATATTTACTTCTCCATATAAACACCAATCTTGATATTTACTTCTCCATATACACACCTATCTTGATATTTACTTCTCCATATTTACATCTATCTTGATATTTACTCTCCATATATACATCTATCTTTATATTTACTTCTCCATGTACACGTCAATCTTTATATTTACTTCTCCATATACACACCAATCTTGATATTTACTTCTCCATATACACACCTATCTTGATATTTACTTCTCCATATATACATCTATCTTTATATTTACTTCTCCATATATACATCAATCTTCATATTTATCCATACACTTACCAATCTTGATATTTACTTCTCCTCCTATCTTCATATTTACTTCTCCATATACACACTTATCTTGATATTTAATTCTCCATATATACATCTATCTTTATATTTACTTCTCCATATACACATCAATCTTCATAGTTACGTCTCCATATACACACCAATCTTGATATTTACTTCTCCATACACACACCTATCTTGATATTTACTTCTCCATATACATATCTCCCCAGATATCTGCCTCTTTATATCAACGCCTCGCTTCACTGTATTCACGTCGAAATTGCTAAACTCTCGTTGAACCGATATACACGCACACCAAGAAATCCACCTCTCCTATACATACCTTCATATCTGTTCTTATACGTGTCTATCTACATGTACCTATTTGATATCCACTGAGCATCCAGGTAGGCAGTACTGATATTTATAAACTGTGTGTGTGCGTGTGTGTGTGTGTGTGTGTGTGCGTGCGTGCGTACGTGCGTGCTTGCGTGCGTATGTGTACAATTTATAACCAAGAACCCCATACTTGTCCTAAGAAGCGACTTACGGGATTGCAATTGCAAGGACCGAAAGCTCATCATGTCAATCACTGGATTGTCTGGTCTAGGTTCGAGTATTTACAGCTGCAAAATTGCTGAGTGCAAACAAACAAACATATATAAACAAGTTTATGCTTTGTTACAGAGTTGCTGTGTGATGCCGTAAGATGAACACCAGCAACATCAGCAAGATCGCGTTCCACCGAGAACAATGGGAGAGTCGACAACGGCTACAAACCCGTATCTTCAGGGCAACTGTAGCTGTAGGTGTCCTGGACGCCGTGTGGGTCGTGTTCGTCAACCTCCTCCTGATAGGCGTCATCCTCACATCCAGGAGGCTCCGGGGTGTGTTCAGAAACCAACTCATCGTCAACATAGCTGTGTCAGACCTGATGATCGGAGTCATATGCATACCTCTCAAGGTGGACTTTGCCTTAAACCGCAGATGGAACTATGGCTGCACCATGCATGTGGCTTATCAAATCATTGAGAATTATCTACAGATTTTTGTAGCGAGCTGGTGCGTTGTCATGGTCAACTTCGACTTCATATTAGAGAGGCTTCAAATAGCCCGTCCCCGGTTGTCCCGGAGCTGCAGGACTCTGTTGTCGGTGCAACTCTTAGCGTTACCATGGGCTATTGCATGCATTGTTATCATGCCAATAATATTTGCAAGCCTACATCCTTTATGGTCCGTCAGCTCATGGAGTGAGCGATACTGTCCAATACTTCTGGTCAGATGGGCGACTGTGACATTATCTGTGTTGTGCTTCTTCCTGCCTGGCATCATCATCCTGTTCCAGGTGGGGACGATCTTAGCTGTCTTTTACAAGAAGAGACCAGCAGGGGTGGCAAGTCTTGGTCTGCTGACGTATTCCGACTCTGCCAGGGACACTGCCGTCATTACCAGTGCCAGCTTGGTGACAGTCTTCATGTTATGTGGTGAGGAGATATGGTTCGTCATGGCCGACTACATGGGATCGTCATGGACGTACCACACCATGATTATATCCGGCTTTATCTTTGGCGTATGCGCAGACATAAAATCTGCAGTGCTTCCAATTGTATGGATGGCTCTTCCGGAAATATGGGAAAATATCAAGTCTAACCTCAGATGGAGGCCATGGCGGCAGTACGTGCAGCATCATGACGTCGAGGTGACGTATTACAGAAACTATGGAGACGATCTGAGCCCATGACGCGAGCGTCATGTCTTTGTAGTGACGTAGTAATAAACCTATGTAGGCGAGCAGAGCCTGTGACTTGTCCAGCACGACGTCATGTTGACGTGCTAGTTTATGTGACGACAACCAGGACCTGACCGTGCATCGTACGTCAGATGACGTAGTTCAGAGACTGTGGAAGCCCATAGTGATGCATGACAGAACCTTGGGTAACGATCGTAGTAAATGATTCGGGTCCCTAATCAATATGTTATATATCTTTATTTGTAATCCTGCAGCTAGGAATATCTGCAATGGGTATCCCCATGGCTAATACTTTGTATGAGTATATCTGAGAGGGACAACTGCTAGTGAGCATATCGATGTAAAGAGAGGCACATGCCCTTCAATATTTGCATATTACATCTATATTGTAACAAACAATAAACCTATTTTCACTCGAGTTGTCGCTTTGATGTATATTACCAGAAGTGTTCTAGGTGCAAAATCTGCAGTGGGTACCCAAGATTGTTCTAAGACAAAATACTTACAGTAGCTTGATCTGTATCTCTTTGTCCTTCAAAGAAAGAGTCCTTTATGGCACGATCTGTATGTCCTCGACTAACGCTGTATGTTAGACTAACGCTTAGTCTCTGAATATATACAATTTTGATAGTAACACATAAACCATTAATTGAAAAGGAGCCCCAGTGAGTTGGGAGCCTGGGAAATCTAACTTGCTTCATTTAGGGCTTTAGCATTGCATTGAGGGCTAGGCGGTAGGGAACGTAATGTGGTTCAGGGACTGTAAGACAGACTGGCTTGATGTTTGTCTCTCTGATTGTTCGAATATTTTTTCACCAAGATATACATTCGTAGTGTATTTTTAGGACATTGCACTGACCCAAATGTTATTGGAGAAGGGGTATTTATTGAATACCTGATACTGACCATGCCTTCAAAGTAGGTTAGGAAATAGTCGTTCTATGGGTTTTTAACTGAGGATAATTCATATACCGTAACACTAAGCCCGCGTGTATTGGATACCGGTCTGTTTTAAGGAGAATTCTTGTAGGTGCACTCTAACGCTTCATGAAGTTGGGCATCAACTGAAAATATCTGTTTCAAATTTTCTGGTTTCGGAGTATATGTGCCACGTCGTGCTTGTGTTACAAGTACATACATGAGATTTTGGTCACGCGTGATAATGAGTCTTCATCGGCCACATTTCAGTAATATAACGTTAGGGGACACTGGTGAATATTACACTACTCTAAGTAATATTCCGTGCAGAAATATCAAGGGAAATTAGCATTAGCATCATCGATCGTACAGTGTGGAGAATCCAACAATTTACTTCGACAAGACGCGCCAATTCTTTTAACAAACATACTACACGAACACCAAATACCATTCTGAAAGCATGGATTTTTAGTTAAAAATGCTATACTCATCTCAGAATTCAAATCCCTGAAATGTACGAAATTTAGGGGATAACGTTATACTGACTGACTGAGTTTGGTTTTACGCCGCTTTTAGCAATATTCAAGCAATATCACGGCGGGGGACACCAGAAATGGGCTTCACACATTGTACCCATGTGGGGATTCGAACCCGGGTCTTCGGCGTGACAAGCCAACGCTTTAACCACTAGGCTACCCCACCGCCCCGATAACGTTATAAATGATAGCTATTTGATGACATGTAGACAATATCTTTCAGGCCTGGTTATCAGAAAGTATTTTCTCAACAACAGTTGTAAAGAACCAATCGACGGAGCCTGAGACAGTTATGTGTCATCGTGACTGATGCTGGAACATACAGATCAAATGTCAAAACATACCAGACCCTTATAGCGCCAGATTGGTACCTAAAATATTTGTCATTTACTTGCTTACTCTATCGTTACTCAAATTGTATTTTGGAAACTTTGAATAGTGCTTCGTTATTTCAATCGAAATCCAAAAAATCGAAATATCGTTGCATCTGCTTCTCTGCTGTACTCTGGATGGATTACCTGAAAATGTCAAAAATAGGAAAATATCAACAGTTTCCGATCTTGTCTCAAAACCATCCTCTTCAAACGAGCCTTCGACAAAGCGCACATGAGCAGGACTCTGGATATGTAGCGCTATACAAATGTTTAATTTGATTTGATTTGATATGATCTTCTCGTATCAAACCGTTAGCTTTTTCTCTCGATATTTCAATTATTTTCTCGTTATTGCAATTGTTTTCTTATTATTTCAAGTTTTTTGGTTATTTTTGTTGTTACAAAATAAATGAAATTACGAAACAATAATCGTCGTAACGTGAAAAAACTTGAAAATTCGTAAAACATAAGCAAGTATTTGAATAATGAGATTTGATGATATGTAAAGAAGATTGCCTGCTACCAAACTGGCACCTTTTGGCCTTCTTAAAAACAAGGGGTGCATACATATAATTAATCACATCGATTTTCTTTGTTTCACCATAACTCTATGTATTTCAAATGGAAATAATGCACATTTTTATACTACAATTATTCTGCCGCTGTACAGGGTGAGTTTTGGGGGTTGGGGGTTTATTTGGTGGTCACATCATTAACCAACCTTCTTCCTCTATCCACTGCTCGACAGCTGTAAATATTCTCAATATACCATTACAACATGACGATGTATCGTGAGGAGTGGATATATGTTGAGTTACTTTTGGAAATACGAGAACATATGATTGTGATAACAATGGTTACTTGAGAACAAAGTCATGGAATTAATAATGAATTTTATCTCCAGAAGTATTTTGTTTCAAAACAGAGACGAATCGTGGGCATGTATTGTACGTCACAGCCATCACTTGGCGGGTCCCCCAGTTGCATTCGGTCTGCTTGAGGTGGAGGTGAGGTATTTCGTTTATATCCCTATGCACCGCCATGTGATGTATATCCGGTTCGTTGTTTATGAGCGTGTTTCCAACAAGACAAGAAAGTCAGTTATATGAAAAATTACCGTCAATACACGAATCGATTTGAGAGAGTTTGACCTAAACAAATAAGAGAGAGAGAGAGACGAGAGAGAGAGAGAGAGAGAGAGAGAGAGAGAGAGAGAGAGAGAGAGAGAGAGAGAGAGAGAGAGAGTTTATTGTTTTTATTTATTGCATAAGATTTGTGTGTCATCATTAATTCTTGAAGATGAACACATATTAATACTAGTGCTGTTCAGTCTGTTCCTTTTTAAATTGCTTTATTTACTTTTAATTTATGCGATTGATAAATACAATTATGTATGTTCTTGTTCCTATACAATGGTAGATTCTTGCATAGATGCATTGTCACAAACGTGAGATATATTGCCTGCAAAGTTTCAAATGTAACGAATGTTTGTGGAAGAAACCATTAGCGTTATTAAGAGGTTATTACATGCCAGGTTTCCTTTTGATGTGGTAGTCGAGCGCTGATATCACTGGTGAAAGGGAAACTGTCATATCATAACCTTTTTATATACTGAAACACTCAAAAAACGATAAGAAAAAAATAGTAAACTGTTTATTCATAACAATAACAAGTCGCCAAGATTAGAACTCATACTCATGCCATTTCTTGATGGACAGCAACTCGAGCAGACGACGCAAGGGACGAAACTCAAAAATTAACTAGGCTCTGTCTATGGAATTTTCGAGCGTTTGCGTGTATTTACTCCGTACCAGCGTAGTAGCCGCAAATATGACTGATATGCATTTTCGGCCCGTGACATATGCCGCCAGCCAGTATTGTATGTGCAAAATGGTCCATAGCATTCAAAGGTATACGATAAAAAGGCTTAAATTTAAGATCGTCTACACCGTTGACTAGCCCAGCTAGTCGTTACGTAATTTTAAAAAAAAAATAAGTGTATCTGGTTAAGATATATTTAAATTCTTCTTGCAGGTACAGAGTGAGAAAAATGAACTCCAGTGTCCAACCAAACGTCACAAAACGTGGAACTGTGCCCTCTTTGTCAGAAGTTGTAGCTTTTGCCATTAGTTTACGTAAAGCATTCGCGATAATGGAAATTCTTATTACGCCCATCATCGTGTCGGCCAATATAGTTTTGATTGTCTCAATCCTGAGCAATGGAACTCTCAGACGGCAATTCCGCTATCTCATGATGACAAGTATTGCCATTGGAGACCTCCTCATCGGCATCTTCTCGTGTCCATTCCGTGCTGATATGATCTTAAACACATACAGGCATGGGTGCATGTTCTACCTGTTCATGACTGTCACTGAGTTATACTTTCAGATGTTTGTTGCAACATGGGGCATTGTTATTATCAATGTGGATTATCTACTAACATTCTTTCATGTCAAGCGACCACAGCTGAAGACCTTCACTCGGAATTTTGTTTTTGCAGTGATTCTCGGTTTGCCGTGGTTAGCAATGTTTATCATTGCGTTACCAGTAGCTTATGTAAATGCTAAGGAATACCTTGTACCTTATGAAATCTGCCATCTCATTATTCCATCTGAAGCGAAAAAGATCGTGATGTCGCTCTCGTTTTTTGTCCCTGCTATTATTACTGTGGTCCAGGTCACCATCATGACTGCAGTGCACCTCTATCGACAAAGAACCGGAAGTGGCATGCCTTCGTTGATGACTTCACCGGAATCGGTTCAGTCGCCATGGATATATGTGGCAGGAAGCTTGGTGCTTATCATTATGGTTGGTTTTGAACAATGTGCTTACATGTCGCAGAGGGCAATAATGAAGGCTATACGTAAGCAATATAAAACATTGTTATTTGTCAGATACTCCTGTGTATTCCTGTCGGATTTCAAATCAGGAGTAACGCCGATTGTTTGGTTTGCTATTCCCGAACTGAGAGCTGCGTTCATGGACCAGGTGAAGAAGTTGCCATGGAGGCAAAGGCGTTCTGACGATGCTAACGAACAAACTGTCAGTTACAGGAATTTGTGCGAAGATACATCAATTCCTTAAGCGCGGCTGCAGGGTGTAATTATGACCACAGGGCAACTTGAATTGTCGTGTCCATCTCCACTGAGGCTCTTTGCTACATATATCACCCAACAGAACGTGGACTAAATGTGAAACAATGTAACGGCAGCTGCAGGTTGCTGTGAATAACAGTAATGTTCCATATGCATGACACCACCATATGACATACCCGTTTCTTTACGTTAAAACTCCATATGGCATCATCAGCAGAGGGAAGCTGCACTTTCGAAAATGAGAGAAAAACCGAAAATCGCTTATTAGCACACACATAGAAATCATTATGTTTACTCTTAGTTGACTGTTTATTCCATACATAGTTTGTTGCTGATAATTAATATAGGTTCATGCCAAACAGCAGAACGGTGATTACGTCATGTCTCAATTGTGAAGCATGCCTATTGCACAGAAGTCGGTTACCGGGCCCGGATCGATATAACCGCTTTCTGCTTTTAATCGGAAAGTCCGTTTAATTGTTTAATATGAGAGGAAGGGCGGAAGTGATACGGCTGATCTTTCGACCTCTTAAATTGCAACTTTCGTGCTGAATGAATGTTGAGAGTGTAATTATGCACATGACAATTCACATGATAAATGTACTCGAAGTTGTGTAACTGAATTCAATTAGAGAATTTGTGGCCAATTAAAAGCCCTTTTTACAAAAATGCATTCCTATAAGTTTTTTTCTGAATATATATGACACTTTGAGAGGCATATGTAGCCTTCCTCGACAAGTGTGTTCGAGTCTACACCGAGTTGTCCATCCACATACCTTATCCTTACTGATTTTTTATGGTCAGTTTTGGATCTCGATGGACCTTTCTAACAGAAGCATGCGCATGTAACTGACGAGTGAGTTTCAACAGTCGTATGAGCCATTGTTTATTGACATCATGCATGTTGATGGTGTATCGTGTTATTTATTTGTGTGTATTAACACCCATTTATTTATCCCTGAAAAACGACACGCACATATGTCTAATTATTGTCAGTAAACATTATATGATTTACCAGGTGACCAGACACTATTCTCCAATCTAAACTACGGAAGTCTTTTTTCCAACCTTCTTGACACATACAAGCTGGGAAAAGATAACTCTCCGATTAAAATCCGGTAGAGATCATTTCAATCAAAGAACTAACATCCGGACCGCCCCGACAAAATGATGACGTAAACATAAGGATTTTCACACATCCTCAAAGTAGATTGCGCATTTGTTTCGAGCAGTCATATGAACCTACGACCTTACGAGTAATTACCCCCACGTGTGTCTGTCATATAGGAAACACAACCCATTCCTTATCAACACCATAACGCCCCTTCCATTCCAAGTTGAATGCAGAACGGGCAACAACACTACTGACGAAGCTCTCGAGGTAGGTTGAATTCAAAGAAAGAATCCATTATATTAGGGCTGACAGAAACTATTTTGATCATAATTCAGAATGATAAAAAATTCGATGTTCACTTCAGTCAATTTAATCTGCGTATCTATAAGAAACAGAGCTTGATGTTCGTATGTTCATATTTTTGCTGAACAGATGTATACGATGCCACAGTTTTAATAGTGAATGAGTGAGTGAGTGAGAGAGTATGGTTTTACGCCACTTTTTGCAATATTCCAGCAACATCACGGCGTAGGACACCAGAAATGGGCTTCACATATTGTACCCATGTGGAGAATCGAACCCGGGCCTTCGGCGTGACGAACGAACGTTTTAACCACTAGTTTACTGCACCGCCCCGCCCCGCCACAGTTTTAAGGGACGCGGTTACTTCTCTGCTCCGTCATATTACATACAATCTTTCAGACTAAACTCTTTGCTGGTTATAACATCTCTCGCATGTAATCGGGTCAGTATGTTCCCTGAAAGGAGATATACATTTAAATCTGAAAATCAAATGAAGTATGTAAAAACAACTATCGTAAAGGGGGTAATTTTCTAAAATCAACATTGTAGCAAGAAACGTTAAAAACTACTGTTCCGGAAACTACCGAGAGTTAATGAGCAGAGTTGACATCACGTGACCTGACGTCATAGTGGCGTGTTGACTCGCTGTAACAGTTTTGTGTTTAGTGGATAACCAGCGACCGACATGGCATCACCAGACAATAATACAAAGACAAATGCTGAATTTTCGCACAATGACCTCACCCACATGTAGACCCGAGAATGATTAAATAAGGCGATGACGTGAACACAACAAACAGAACAAAATCAGTTTCAACTCAGATCTAAAGAAGTATTATATATTGTTTTAAATGAATTATAAGTTAATTTTGACATCCAGGTATGTCAGTGCAAGAACATGTTAAAATGTGATGTTGCAGATCAAATTAGTGATGCAGTTGCATGCGTTATATGCAAATAGACATACAGCTATTTTGCTAAAAGCTGACATACTCCTCTTGTAGTAAACAGCAGCGAGACCCGGGTTCGATTCTCCACATGGGTACACAGTGTGAAGTCAGTTTCTGGTGTCCATGCCTTGATATTGCTAAAGGTGGCGTAAAACCATACTCATTCACTAACAAAAATAAATACGAATACAATGTCCACTTTATTTTGAATTTCCCAAATACAGCGCTTAGAGATACTCCATGTACACTAAGATTATCAAAATCTATAAACAATTCAAACTATTCCCTATTGGGATGAAACTCTTGCAACAATACGTGTCACCTTCTTTAACCAACTATCACTTTGAAAATCAATTGTTTTCGTTGTTGATAAGCAAATATGAGCCCCTCAGGTATCCTCAGATGACAATTGCTCAGAGATGGCAATGCGGAATGCTGGCATTAAGGGTTATTCCAAGAAAGGTCCATCTGTAATCGGTCGGGTACAGAGACAGGCGCCCTGTCAGACGTCCCTTGTTATGCACAGAGCTCAAAGGAGCACGAGGAGCTTGGTGCCAAGCTCGACATCACTCGAATTTTACGTCACTTGTCGGACGAAAGTCCACTCTGGTGGGTGTTCACTGATGGCGAGGGGTGACTCTCACATGACATTAAACTTGACCTCGTGACGATCAGACAAAATCTGAATGGACATCGACTACATAGCTGCCATCCCAGACACGCTTTTGCACTGTATGTTTCGGTATAGACCCTTATGCCTTTATCATGTTATTTATAGGATCTATTACGAAACGTCGCCATGTAGACATTATAGAAGTCGTAATCCATACAGTTGCTACCTCGTCGTTACCCAACTTCTATAGATGCCTTTTAAACATTTTAATCGTAGTATATGTGTGATTTTATGATGACTACTAGTATATTTGTCTCCAATCACCAGTGGCTGAAGGAATGGTGTACATCCAGTTAGGGTCCATGCAGGTAGCAACTGTACTGTAAGTCCCCATGGTTTCTAGTATGGTGACCTGCCTTCAGTTGTTGGTGATCTCCAGCCCGTTTTTATATGTTGTATTGTCCATAAAATTTTGTTTAATTTTAGAATTATATGCTAATTTTAATTCTTTATCTGTGCTGATCTAGTTATTTTACTGTCCTTCTTCAACAGGTTTTAATAATTTAATTCAGTTTAGTATGAATTTGTAAGTTTTGAAAGTCAGGACATGGCTGACAAAGTGCCGCTGTGACCATAAATCAACCCCTTTTAAACAATTTGTTTGCTTCATATCATAGATACATACATACATACATACATACATACATACATACATACATACATACATACATACATACATACATACATACATACATACATACATACATACATACATACATACATACATACATACATACATACATACATACATACATACATACATACATACATACATACATACATACATTTGTATAGCGCCGATATCCAGCTGAGCTCAGCTGCTCAAAGGCGCTTTGTTTTTCCCTCCTTCACTGGATGTCAATCTCAACGGCACATCGTATTGTCAATCCCTGGGGAGTTTACAACTCTTGCAGCCACTAGGCGCACCGAGTTATTGTGGCATTCCCATCCTTACGAGGTACCCATTCACAGCTGAGTGGACTGGGACACATAGTCACAGTACTTTGTCCAAGTTTACTGCACGTTGCTGTACCTGCAACTTGGTGTTTGCACATATTCATGTGGCCACCATCTGGTCATATACCAACGGATTCGTGGGTTCTTTTAAGTGCACAGGGTTGTGTATTGTACACTAGGTGTTGTGACAACAGACCTTGTCCATATCCAGATCACTGAATATTTCGCACCACATAAACGTGAACAGTGGACTGTGCCACAACAAGATGAACTAAATCTTTGACGCCACTCAAGAATAACACCCATGATAAAACACAGAAGACGTCATAGACCCTTTTATCTACGCACATTTGACAACATTTGGAATATGATTTACTATATATACTCATGCCAATAATGGTTGTCAACCCCCCACCCCCACCCCCACACACACCCACCCCACACCCTCTCCAATTAAAAAAGGGGGTGGATCGTTTAAACAACTATAACACTGAGTCGTTTAATATTGTTAAACACCGAAGTAACCATTACTCCACCAACACTGTGGCTTGTGCAGATGACACGCAACCATTATCGTAAATCACCCGGTCCTTTTGAGGCGTCTCATAAAGGCAGGCGCTGGGGTAGCCTAGTGGTTAGCGCGATCGCTCGTCACGCCGAACAGTGATCCGGGTTCGATTCCCCATATGGATACAATGTGTAAAGCCCGCCATGATAATCTGGAATATTGCTAAAAGCGGCGTAGGAACAGAATCACTCACTCACTCATAAAGGCAAATGTTAAAACCATTCCAGGCAAGGCTTGTACAGCGCATGTTATTTCAAACGTACTCCTTTTAAAAATATTGTACAAGAGAATATATCTTTTTCAGATCACTTTCAAAATGAACAACACCAACGTCAGCCAGGCCTGGAATGTAACAGGGCCGAGAAAACGACCCGACTTTTCTGCAGCCTATATTGCCAGTGGTGTCAGCGAGACGCTGCTGATACCAGTAATAATCATTGGCAATCTAATCATCATCACATCAATACTCACAAATCGGACACTCAGGCAAGACTTCCGACACCTAGGCATGGTCAGCGTGTCCATAGCAGACCTGTTGACAGGACTGATAACATGTCCAATAATAGCGGAATACATGCTGATCAGCCGAGAGCGCCTGTCATGTGCAAAGTTTCTTATGGTATCCATTTACGACATGTATGTCCAGAGGTTTGTCGTAACGTGGGGAATAGTAAGCCTCAACGCCGACTATTTGCTGACGTTGCATTGTGTGAAGATGCAGTTATCTCCCTTTATGCGGAAATTTGTCATCGGTACATTTTTGGCCCTACCCTGGCTGGCGATGCTTGCGGTTGTTTTGCCAATCGCATATACTCACGTTGGCAGCGTACGTTTATCAAGAATGTGTGTACTAAACATGTCTAATGCTGCAGAAATACTGGTGGCGTGTTTTGCGGCCGTGGTACCTGCAATACTAGCATTTCTGCAACTGATTCATATGATCATCTTATACCGTTGCCGTAATTCAAGACAACACGTGCATCCGGAAACCAATAACGCCGGGTCGTCTGCGACTCCTTGGATGCTCGTATGTGTAACTATGGCAACGATTCTCATGGCATTACCGCAAGAAGCAGTTTCACTTTGGCTAAGAACAGTGAGACGAATATCAAACTTGTACGTGTACATAATAGTTGCTTTTTTCAGTTTTATTGTTGGCGATGCAAGAAGTGCAGTCTTGCCTTTCATCTGGTGCATGGAAGCAGATGTACGTGTCGCAGTAAAGGATCTGTATAACAGGTTACCATGGAGAAGCTCTCTTCAGAGGTTCAGAAGAGACCTTACTGTGGATTATCGGAACTTCTAATTATGGCTAATTATGTAACAGTCATTATCGAGCCAAGTAAAATGGTAAAAATCTGAGTAATGTAATGATTAATACATAGATTGTCACTTTGTTCAAAGTGCCTTTTGTCTTGTCTTTCGGTTTAGTGTGACATGTGGTGTATACATGGAGCATGATATTGTCACAACAAGTCGAAGTCAACAAGTCAATAACAAGTCAAAGGCATTTCAATTTCAGCATCTATCGAAGAAATATCGCCACCATTAAGACGCGTTTTCTTAGAGCAACGTCTTGCAGTATCCGTACGCTTTGATGACTATTGTATAAGTAATAGGATATAGACTGCTGAACTATTGTAAACGTTGGTATACATGTCATCAGCACCTTCATGTTATTATGGTTTTGTAGTCCATCATAACCATATACGCTAAAGGCATCGTGTATAAAAGTGAAAATAATTTACATTGCTGTCAGGAAAATATTCTTCGACTGTAAAATCAGCTTCTCTTGGCAATTTTTTTGAACGTGTAGATTACTCCGATAAAGGCTTCACGTTTTTCATTTGACTGTTCATTCAGCATCAACACTATGAATCCTCCTATTATTGTCATCGTTCGTTTGAATTTACTTATTCCAGGAACCAATTTACTGTTCAATACCATGTCTGGATATAAGCTTATCTGATCCACATGTAAATTTGTTTTCGCCTGTTTTAAACGGCGTGACACCATTTCCGTTGTGAAAAAAACAAAGCCAAACTATAGATCCATATCTGATTTTGTGTAGACAGTCATGTATTCTTTGTGTGGTAACAATACAACGTTGTATTTTATTTAGTACAAAGTAAAAGGCAGACATTTCAAATGGCGTTCTTGAAGTTCTTGTTGAATTCAGTCAGTGTATGTTTTGTGATTAATTTGTTTATGGAACCTATTTCCTATTTTGCAACATTTTTAACAAATTGTCGCCGAATCTCAGAAATGGAAATTGACAAAGTACACACCCTAAAATTTTACTTTCAAAGAAACGTTTTTAGGTTTTAGATATGTTTATTTGGTCAAGTTGTCATGTTTGGAATGCTTTCGTTACATTTCGTTTAAAAAAATCAACAACCCCAAACAAACTGAGACGTATTCTGATGTAACAAGTCTTAAAGTAGTACTGTCCTTTCATCAATCTCAAACGTATTCTGTGGAAGGAAACTATGCTAACATTAAATATCTGCTTTAATAACGTAATGAATGAACGAAGATGAAACGTGTCTTGTTGATCTATTTATCACCCCTGATAGAAGTCAGATGTCAGATCAGTCATCCACTCATTGATCATTCTCTCCAGGACGCTCAGAGGCACCGGACCATTCTTTAGCAGGAGGGCATGGAAAGCCTTCAGGTCGAATAGCGGGCCTAAACATAAAAATAGAGTGAGTCTGAATAGTAAAATATCTTTGGCAAGCAGTGGTAGCATACAGGTGAGGTGAAATTGGGTTTAACGTCGTGCTTGAGAATATTTCGCTCATATGACGACGTGCACGCGTGTGTAGGTAGCATTCAGTGTATGAATGAACCTGAAAGAACTGTTCACATTTGTTTGGCACTTAAGATCAGAAGATATATGATGCCAATGGAAAATTAACATTCCTCTATGTACTGTTTACCTAGGGTAATACTTTTGTGCTGGATATATTTTGTTTGAACACGTATGTACATTCCTTGAAGCACTGTGTACTGAAGATAACATTTGTAGACAGCTGGAATATTTTGCATTATTCACAAATGTACATTATTTGATGCACTGTGTACTGAAGATAACATTTATAGGCAGCTGGAATATTTGTATTAGTCACATATGTACATTATGTGATGCACTATGTACTGAGGATAACATTTATAGATACCTGGAATAGTTGTATTAGTCACATATGTACATTATTTGATGCACTGTGTACTGAAGATATCATTTATAGATACCTGGAATATTTGTATTAGTCACATATGTACATTATGTGATGCACTATGTACTGAAGATAACATTTATAGATACCTGGAATAGTTGTATTAGTCACATATGTACATTATTTGATGCACTGTGTACTGAAGATATCATTTATAGATAGCTGGAATATTTCGTTCTATCGAACGTGTATATTGCCTATAACGATGTCGTATATACATGTATATGTATAAAAAAATATTCTAGATGTACAAACACGCGAGCACATGTGCACACGGGTACGCCGTGGGAAGTCCATTTCTGGTGTGCCTATGGCATTGATATAATAGTGCTTAAAACGGCGTAAAAACATACTCGTTCATTGTTTCCAAATATCGCGAACATGTACGTGTTGAGCATATCTACTTTCCTTGTATTTACTTCCATACTCACCGAGCTTTTGCATGGCTCTCTCCCTCAGCTGTCGGATCTTAATCTCTCCAACCTTGTATGCGCACGCCTGGCCTGGCCACGTGACGTAGCGGTGCACCTCGCTCTCGATGTCGTTCCGGGAATAGGCCGTGTGTGCCAGCATGTACGAGACTGCCTGTTCCTTGTCCCAACTGAAACACATATTTACCTTTTCATGTGTACTCACAGAAAAATGTAACTGTTCACGTTCTTATCCTTCATGTTGATATTAAGGGCATTGGCAAAGGGACATTGATATATTGAAATATTGAAATGGACATGTATGCAAACCATTAATTTAATGAATTCTATTGTACAAGTATGGTGTTTGTAAAGCCTTCGTAAAGATTCCAAAAAGTTTATGGAGGAATTTTAGAGGAAATCTCCCGGTGATTAATTTACTTGCTTTGCATGTGTTTGGACCAGACAGTCCAGTGATCAACCGCATGTGCATCGATCTACGCAATTGGGATACGATGACATGTATCAACCAAGTAAGCGAGCCTGACCGCCCGATCCCGGATTTGCACGGGTACAGAGTATATAAACAGAGTAAAAACGGAGCACATGTATATATATTAATTTCAAATTCATGCCAAAAAGTAGCTGAAAAGATGTATAAGGGAATCTTTTCAAAGGAACGCATGCAGTAGTTTTTGTTTTGTTGTGTAAAAACTTCCTTATCTCGAAGATCTTGCTTAATCTCTTAAGATGTTAAACAATGAAAATTTAATACCTTAACATATGCCTAGTTTTTGTTTGTTTGTTTCTCGTTTAACGACCTTCTCAACAGTTGTTCAGCAAAATAATTGTCGGTGATTGATATCATAAGGATCGGTCAACGCATTGAGATGCATTATTTAATTATATATTTTATGATACATTTTATTTAATGGATGTCATTTACTGATCACTAAAGCTGGCTCCCTTGCAAAATGATAGGACAGTGTAGTGATTTCGTCTGCACAGTATGCTATACTCTTCTTTGCTAAAATCTGAAATAACAGTTTTATTCTCTTCATGTTGGTTATCGTAATGGTTCGTCATGTTTTACCCGTACATCGTTTAATGATGCTGTATTCACTTTACGATATACTGAAGGTACAAATTAACTATAGCCTAAAGTTCAAGGTTTACATCCTCTGAATCTGTAGAAACTCTTCGGTGAAATAAAAATGTTCTAAATTCATCAAATATGGACATTTGTAATCATTGTATATTGATTGAGACTGCATCTTAGGAGTACCGTGTGGCAACATGGTAACGACAAGGTGGGTTAGCTGGCGTGACTAACTATGAGTGAGAGAGGTTGAGTGAGATTCTTTTCTTCGCCCCGAGTGGTTGAGTGAATGACTTAGTGAATATTTGAATGAGTGGATGAGTGAGTGAGTACTTGTGGTACTTTAGACGACTGGACCTGAGTGGTTGAGTGAATAGTTGAGTGAATGGTTGAGTGATTGGTTGAATGAGTGGTTGAATGAGTGGTTGAGGGAGTGGTTGAGTGTGTGATTGAGTGAGTGCTTGTATAAGTCGGCATCATTGAATCATCATTGAACACATCAAAGTTCGATACATCAAAGTTCGACACAACGGTGTTTGTAGTTCTTTGCCTGATCTCTACGGTGTCAGTTATATTTGCGTCATGCTGACCAAACCCACATATTAACATCCTATGTGTATTACAGGGCGCCATATAGCTGGAATATTGCTGAGTGCGGCGTAAAACTAAACTTACTCACTCACTATTACGGCACCTCACATGTTCAACGCCTAGAATAAAGCCGCATCTTCACCATCACCTACTTGAAGTAGTGAAGTCCAGTGTCCACCACCATCCTGCAAGCACGGAACATCTCGGAGCCGTACCGCCCCATTCTGTTGAATAAACGTTGAAATAGAGAATCTCACCCAAGTGTCTACTGATATCAATTATGACAACACGAGTTGATAAAGTTACAAATATCCGAGGCTTGCCGAGGGTATTTTACCTTTATATTTTACTGACATTATCAACGAGTGTCAACACTGACATTCATTCAGTTGTTATCTGAATACAGCACTGACAATCATTTAGTTGTTATCTGAATACAGCACTGACAATCATGAAGTTGTTATCTGAATACAGCACTGTTATCTGAATCAATGAAGTTGTTATCTGAATACAGCACTGACAATCATGAAGTTGTTATCTGAATACAACGCCGACAATCATTCAGTTGTTATCTGAATACAGCACTGACAATTATTCAGTTGTTATCTGAATACAGCACTGACAATCATGAAGTTGTTATCTGAATACAGCAATCATGAAGTTGTTATCTGAATACAGCACTGACAATCATTCAGTTGTTATCTGAATACAGCACTGATAATCTGAATGAAGTTGTTATCTGAATACAGCACTGACAATCATTCAGTTGTTATCTGAATACAGCACTGACAATCATGAAGTTGTTATCTGAATACAGCACTGACAATCATGAAGTTGTTATCTGAATACAGCACTGACAATCATTCAGTTGTTATCTGAATACAGCACTGACAATCATGAAGTTGTTATCTGAATACAGCACTGACAATCATTCAGTTGTTATCTGAATACAGCACTGACAATCATGAAGTTGTTATCTGAATACAGCACTGACAATCATTCAGTTGTTATCTGAATACAGCACTGACAATCATTCAGTTGTTATCTGAATACAGTTGTTATCTGAATACCACTGACAATCATTCAGTTGTTATCTGAATACAGCACTGACAATCATTCAGTTGTTATCTGAATACAGCACTGACAATCATTCAGTTGTTATCTGAATACAAATCTGAATCATTCAGTTGTTATCTGAATACAGCACTGACAATCATTCAGTTGTTATCTGAATACAGCACTGACAATCATTCAGTTGTTATCTGAATACAGCACTGACAATCATTCAGTTGTTATCTGAATACAGCACTGACAATCATGAAGTTGTTATCTGAATACAGCACTGACAATCATGAAGTTGTTATCTGAATACAGCACTGACAATCATTCAGTTGTTATCTGAATACAGCACTGACAATCATTCAGTTGTTATCTGAATACAGCACTGACAATCATTTAGTTGTTATCTGAATACAGCACTGACAATCATTTAGTTGTTATCTGAATACAGCACTGACAATCATTCAGTTGTTATCTGAATACAGCACTGACAATCATTTAGTTGTTATCTGAATACAGCACTGACAATCATTCAGTTGTTATCTGAATACAACGCAGACAATCATCAAGTTGTTATCTGAATACAGCACTAATAATTATTCAGCATGCTGTCAGACACTGTGTTGGGTGGGTCTACTCACAGTTCATAGTCATCCTTGTATAGGCCCATTTCCTCTCCAAGATACTCTGCATAAAGGGCCCATCCCTACAATGTAATGTGGAACGTTCTGCAAACGCGCAGGGTGCCTTGGGGATATAGATACTTTACCATAATACAACAATTCCTTATTCTTTGAATCCCATACCTCCATCTGCCGAGATTACTTTAATCATGAACTATCGAAGTGTGAAGTAGCTTTAGACATTAGTTCGTATATACCTATATTACTATATTTGTTTAAATCTGGAACGAATGAAATGAGTGACAAATATCATTACAAATAGAGGATACCTGTGTATAACAGTCACTTGGTCAATGTAGTGAATGCACGCGAGTGAGACACTACCTGTTTGGACCAGTAATTGGTCCACATACACATAACTCGTGAAGGTTGTCTCCCAAAACCCCTACAGCCCATAACCCCTACAGCCCTGTACCCCTACAGCCCTGTACCCCTACAATTAGTTAAGACAACATACGACATTTACCTGTCTGGCATAATGAACTGACCCAAAGGAGGTGAGGTGAGGTGAGGTGAGGTGAAATTGGGTTTAACGTCGTGCTTGAGAATATTTCGCTCATGTGACGACGTGCGTGCGTGTGTATGTGTGTGTGCGGCTGCTTGTACTATCCCAGACTGAAGCTGGTGAAGCATGAATACCATGCCGCAGTGAAGCATGAATACCCCTTATACTGACTCCGAGCCGACCAGTCCTTGTTGTACCCATTAATGCCGAGCGCCAGACAGGGACCAACAAGTACCATATTTTAACGTCTTTTGGTATGACGCGGTCGCGGATCGAACCCGCGACCTTCCGCTTTCCGGGCGGACGCTCTAACCACTACACCACGGAGGCGGTCGACCCAAAGGAGAGATTACAGGGTGGAGTATACAGTGTGAGCTCCACAGAGTATACAGATGAGAAGGGAATAAGATTCTGCTGTTGTTGGTAGGGTTTTGATCATTCATTTTAATTAATTGAGATGAATTAAATGTTGAGCTATTTTGGTTTAGCTTTCTGGTGTACATTGTGAGTAGACAGGGGTGGTATATACGAGGGGCGTTCAAAAAGTAGTCAGCCTAACTATATTATACATGTCCAATGTTTGAAAAGCTTCCATTTTATTTTGAAGAAATTATTAGAAAATCCATATCCAAAATTTCACACATATGGGTAATGTGGTTAACATTGGGGTATAATATGTCTTTAAAAATTGCAGAAAATGAAAACCATCTGTCATTTGCAATTGGTACCTCTTGGATAATGGCATGCCCTCAGATAATATCATATAAAATATGTTCAGTATAATATTGGATGACTAGCCGTCATAATCAACATGTATAAAAATATGTACAAAAATAAAACATAAAAAAACATTTAATATGTTATGACATTATGATATTAAATTAAGTTAATTAAACTTCAAGTTCAATATTATTGAACTTTTGTTAAAATATTTTGTTACCTTCCATTCAAACCATTATCTCAAACTGTTAGTTTGGTTATGAATCACTAAAAACATTCTCTCAATTGTTAAGTGTTTGGTCTGGTCCATTGTATGAAATAAGTAACAGGCAGGAGATTAGCAGTGCATTGGACCATGAACTTTGTTGTTATAAGCCGTTGGGGTATGGGCTGTAGGGGTTTTGGGAGGTTACCCTCGAGAACATGGACAACATGTGCCCTAACTTAAAGTGATCAACTCTACAGTAATCAAATGTTATTAGCTGATGTCTGGCAGGTGAAGTATGAAATCAAAAATATATTAGGCTAGCATTGGCTGTTGTATCATATAAGCTACACGTTTCAAGAATATAAATAATTTGAGTGTGACGGGGCATAACTTTACTTCCTTCAGCATTATATTAGCTATTATCAGTGGCACCCAAAATGGTATTTACACATTGTAAGACAGGAATTAACGAAACTCGTCGTCTTGGTATACACATGCTTTAACCACAATACACCCTCGTCACCCCACCATGCACCTAGAAATATCATGATATTGTCACAGGAAATCGTGTAAAGGGGTACCTCGAGATAGGCTGTGTAAAAGGGGAATTTGAATGGTGCTTGCCAGTAGTTGGTATCTTCCTGGAACTTCCGGAACGAAGGTAGGTCCGCAGCAAGAGCATATATTCTCTTCGGAAATAAAATACATTCTTGGCATAATGAGTACACAAAACTTGGAACATATTATAAGGTAAAGGAATGGGTTTAATGATATTAAAGTTCAGCAGATATGCCATCAATCTGTCTAGTAATTCTGGTTATTTTAAATGTAAACTAAGAGTATCACTCTAATCACAACTGCTTTATTCACAGTAACTATGTACAACTAACAGTTACACTGTACAACTAACAGTCACATTGTACAGGTGACAGTCACACTGTACAACTAACTGTCACACTGTACAGCTAACTGTCACACTGTACAGTTAACAGTCACACTGTACAAATAACAGTTACACTGTACAACTAACAGTAACACTGTACAACTAACAGTAACACTTTACAACTGACAGTCACACTGTACAACTGAGTCACACTGTACAACTAACAGTCACACTGTACAGCTAACAGTAACATTGTACAGCTAACAGTCACACTGTACAACTTTCAGTCACACTGTACAACTTTCAGTCACATTGTACAGCTAACAGTCACACTGTACAACTCTCAGTCACACTGTACAACTAACAGTCACACTGTACAGCTAACAATAACACTGTACAACTGACAGTCACACTGTACAACTGACAGTCACACTGTACAACTAACAGTCACACTGTACAACTGACAGTCACACAGTACAACTAACAGTCACACGGTACAGCTAACAGTCACACTGTACAACTTACAGTCACACTGCACAACTGACAATCACACTGTACAACTGACAGTCATACAGTACAACTAACAGTCACACTGTACCGCTAACAGTCACACTGTACAACTAACAATCACACTGTAAGCTAACAGTCACACTGTACAACTAACAGTAACATTGAAGAACTAACAGTCACACTGTATAACTAACAGTCACACTGTACAGCTAACAGTGACACTGTAAGCTAACAGTCACACTGTACAAGTAACAGTCACACTGTACAACTAACAGTAACATTGAACAACTAACAGTCACACTGTACAGCTAACAGCCACACTGTACAACTAACAGTCACACTGTACAAGTAACAGTCACACTGTACAAGTAACAGTAACACTTTACAACTGACAGTCACACTGTACAACTGAGTCACACTGTACAACTAACAGTCACACTGTACAGCTAACAGTAACATTGTACAGCTAACAGTCACACTGTACAACTTTCAGTCACACTGTACAACTGACAGTCACACTGTACAGCTAACAATAACACTGAACAACTGACAATCACACTGTACAACTGACAGTCACACTGTACAACTGACAGTCACACTGTACAACTAACAGTTACACTGTACAACTGACAGTCAACAGCTGTACAACTAACAGTTACAGTCACTAACAGTCATGCTGTACAACTAACAGTCACACTGTACAACTAACAGTCACACTGTACAGCTAACTACACAGTCAGTCACTGTACAGCTAGCAGTCACACTGTACAACTACCAGTCACACTGTACAACTAACAGTAACATTGAACAACTAACAGTAACACTGAACAACAGTAACAGTTACACTGTACAACTAACAGTAACATTGAACAACTAACAGTAACATTGAACAACTAACAGTCACACTGTACAGCTAACAGCCACACTGTACAACTAACAGTCACACTGTAAACTAACAGTCACACTGTACAACTAACAGTCACACTGTACAGCTAACAGTCACACTGTACAACTAACAGTCACACTGTACAACTAACAGTAACATTGTACAACTAACAGTCACACTGTGCAACTAACAGTAACACTGTACAACTAACAGTCACACTGTACAACTAACAGTAACAGTTTACAACTGACAGTCACACTGTGCAACTGAGTCACACTGTACAACTAACAGTTACACTGTACAGCTAACAGTAACATTGTACAGCTAACAGTCACACTGTACAACTGACAGTCATACAGTACAACTAACAGTCACACTGTACAGCTAACAATAACACTGTACAACTGACAGTCACACTGTACAGCTAACAGTAACATTGAAGAACTAACAGTCACACTGTACAGCTAACAGTGACACTGTACAAGTAACAGTCGCACTGTACAACTAACAGTAACATTGAACAACTAACAGTCTCACTGTACAACTAACAGTCACACTGTACAACTAACAGTAACATTGAACAACTAACAGTCACACTGTACAGCTAACAGTCACACTGTAGTAACAGTCACACTGTACAGCTAACAGTAACATTGTACAGCTAACAGTCACACTGTACAGCTAACAGTCACACTGTACAAGTAACAGTCACACTGTACAGCTAACAGTCACACTGTACAAGTAACAGCCACACTGTACAAGTAACTGTCACACTGTACAGTCACACTGTACAAGTTACAGTCACACTGTACAAGTAACAGTCACACTGTACATGTAACAGTCACACTGTACAAGTAACAGTCACACTGTACAGCTAACAGTCACACTGTACAGATAACAATAACACTGTACAACTAACAGTCACACTGCAATAACACTGTACAACTAACAGTCACACTGTACAACTGACAGTCACACTGTACAGCTAACAGTCACACTGTACAATTAACAGTCACACTGTACAACTATCAGGAACACTCAAAGTGCAACTGCATTATTCACAGTAACACGGTGCAGCTGCCTCCCTCACTGTAACACGGTGCAGCTGCCCCCTCACGGTAACACAGTAATACTACCAATAGCACAATGACTTAACCATTCACTGACTATGACACTCACGGTAACACGGTGCAGCTGCCCCCTCACGGTAACACAGTAATACTACCAATAGCACAATGACATAACCATTCACTAACTATGACACTCACAGTAACAATCGCGTTATCAATAACGCAGCAACACTCCCAGTATTACCCGCGTCAACAGCAGTAACACTTACAGTGTTATAATATATGCTGTTCACTGGTCACTAGGGTCCATCAAACCATGGGCCTCAAGGGACCAGTGAACAACGTATTTATCTCACCGACCTCAATGTTAATTTCCAACTGTGTCAAGTACGGGTATCGGAACATAATAAGGAGTACCAGGGTTGGACAATTAGCCAATACTAGCTTTTCAGATGACAAGAAAACTAGCAGACGACAAGAAAAACAAATTTAGAGTTATCGCCCTTCCATCAATTTGCATTCGCAAAACATCGGTAATTTCCGTACATCATGTGTGACACAATTATTCGAGATAAAGAATTACAAACACAAAGTACCAAATGAATTCCCACAATATGCCATTCCCAGAGGGAACATAGAAAATGTTCCTCGCTTGTAAAAATAGATGAGCGCTCAGCCAATCAGAAAACGACATTTATTTGTGTGAGGTAAGATAATAATGCTTATAGCACCACGGTATCATTGCCATTAACAGTCACAGTAACACGGCAACTCTCCCCATAACACGATAATACAGTAGTAACAGGCATAGTGAACAGTAGTACTCAAAGTAAGACAGCAATATTTCAACTAACAAATGGCCGCAGTAGCTTATGAAATAACACAGTAAACAAATTAACACCGAGTCAACAGTGTAACACTCACAGAGTAATAGCTCTAAAAAACACAGTAAACAAATTATAACCGAGTCAACAGTGTAACACTCACAGAGTAATAGCTCTAAAAATAACACAGTAAACAAATTATAACCGAGTCAACAGCGTAACACTCACAGAGTAATAGCTCTTAAAATAACACAGTAAACAAATTATAACCGAGTCAACAGCGTAACACTCACAGAGTAATAGCTCTACAAATAACACAGTAAACAAATTATAACCGAGTCAACAGCGTAACACTCACAGAGTAATAGCTCTAAAAATAAGACAGTAAACAAATTAACACCGAGTCAACAGCGTAACACTCACAGAGTAATGGTTCTAAAAATAACGCAGTAAACAAATTAACACCGAGTCAACAGCGTAACACTCACAGAGTAATGGCTCTAAAAATAACACAGTAAACAAATTATAACCGAGTCAACAGCGTAACACTCACAGAGTAATAGCTCTAAAAATAACACAGTAAACAAATTATAACCGAATCAACAGCGTAACACTCACAGAGTAATGGCTCTAAAAATAACACAGTAAACAAATTAACACCGAGTCAACAGCGTAACACTCACAGAGTAATGGCTCTAAAAATAACACAGTAAACAAATTAACACCGAGTCAACAGCGTAACACTCACAGAGTAACAGCTCTAAAAATAACACAGTAAACAAATTAACACCGAGTCAACAGCGTAACACTCACAGAGTAATAGCTCTTAAAATAACACAGTAAACAAATTATAACCGAGTCAACAGCGTAACACTCACAGAGTAATAGCTCTTAAAATAACACAGTAAACAAATTAACACCGAGTCAACAGCGTAACACTCACAGAGTAATAGCTCTAAAAATAACACAGTAAACAAATTAACACCGAGTCAACAGCGTAACACTCACAGAGTAATAGCTCTAAAAATAACACAGTAAACAAATTAACACCGAGTCAACAGCGTAACACTCACAGAGTAATGGCTCTAAAAATAACACAGTAAACAAATTAACACCGAGTCAACAGTGTAACACTCACAGAGTAATAGCTCTAAAAATAACACAGTAAACAAATTAACACCGAGTCAACAGCGTAACACTCACAGAGTAATAGCTCTAAAAATAACACAGTAAACAAATTAACACCGAGTCAACAACGTAACACTCACAGAGTAATAGCTCTAAAAATAACACAGTAAACAAATTATAACCGAGTCAACAGTGTAACACTCGCAGAGTAATGGCTCTAAAAATCACACAGTAAACAAATTATAACCGAGTCAACAGCGTAACACTCACAGAGTAATAGCTCTAAAAATAACACAGTAAACAAATTAACACCGAGTCAACAGTGTAACACTCACAGAGTAATAGCTCTAAAAATAACACAGTAAACAAATTAACACCGAGTCAACAGCGTAACACTCACAGAGTAACAGCTCTAAAAATAAGACAGTAAACAAATTAACACCGAGTCAACAGCGTAACACTCACAGAGTAACAACTTTAAAAATAACACAGTAAACAAATTAACACCGAGTCAACAACGTAACACTCACAGAGTAATAGCTCTAAAAATAACACAGTAAACAAATTAACACCGAGTCAACAGCGTAACACTCACAGAGTAATAGCTCTAAAAAAACACGGTAAACAAATTAACACCGAGTCAACAGCGTAACACTCACAGAGTAATAGCTCCAAAAATAACACAGTAAACAAATTAACACCGAGTCAACAGCGTAACACTCACAGAGTAATAGCTCTAAAAATAACACAGTAAACAAATTATAACCGAGTCAACAGCGTAACACTCACAGAGTAATAGCTCTAAAAAAACACGGTAAACAAATTAACACCGAGTCAACAGCGTAACACTCACAGAGTAACAGCTCTAAAAATAACACAGTAAACCAATTAACATCGAGTCAACAGCGTAACACTCACAGAAACACAATAATACAGTCACATTCACAGGACAACAACAGCACACATCAACACAGGGACACTTGAAATAACGTTCACAGAGACACAGTGAGATTGTGAAATAAGCGTATTCACAATAACGCTTACAGAAACACATGGCCCGTACCTGTAAATGGTGACCAGGGACAGTTTCGTGAAGAGACAACGCCTTCATGTCGATGGTAGCACTGAAGATGGGACAAAAATAGGAGATGGTATCTAAACAATTATCATCTTACCACTCATTAATATAAAAACACAAAAAGACAAAACACAGTCTCAGATAAAATAATTCAAAGACATGGGGTCAGCATGAAATGTACCCTTCCACAGCACACCCAAGGCAGAAATCACTTAAGTGTCAATTGCATGTGAATACCCCAATTATTGATCATTTCATGGAGTCGTCCGCGCAAAACAACGGAGCTGAGCTGTAACTGACTCTAAGCTAACGCTTAATCTCTAAAATATATTATTTTGATGAAAACACAAAAGCATAATTGATATTGATGAGCGGCAGTGAAGTCTGATGTGATAGGAAAATCTAGACTTGCTTCATTTAGAGATTTTCTGGTAGAAAATGATACTATGGGAGAGAGACTATAACTGACCCTAACGTTGGTTACAACCTATACCTGAGTACATTTGTTCCTGAAAACCTACATAATTTTACCAATAACAGTCATGAGGTATTCTCAGCGTGTTCCTCTATTTCGGGAGAATCTGTACATTAGGAAACAGGTGAACACTAGTATATCAATCAGTTGTTATACAGAAGATCAGCATCATTACTGTGTTACAAATGTAGAGATAGGCCATATGTAGACGACACTAAATCTAAATGAAGGAACATTAAGTGTGCAGTTGTCCAACATCACGGACTACAGACGCTTTTTCCAAGAACAGGTGCCTATACTACAATGCATATCTTTTATCATATTTCACAGAATGTCCGCGATAAGCCCCAGTATGAACCCGGAATATCCAAGGGAGTTAATGAGCGTGCCAGATGAGAAAGTTATTTGGGTACCGTTATTGGTAAAATCATCTCAATGACACAAACAGTAATGCACAGGTAAGAAGTAATGTGTGCTGGCGGAAATAGGCGTAAAGACAGAAGGCTATTTGCTACTCCGTTTTAAGTCGACAAAAAATGAAATTGATTTTTTTCTGAACTATTGTCATCATTATTCTTCAGCATGATTCGCCGAAGATTATCTGACAGAAAACCCTTGCGAATGATTAACATGCTCGATGCAGGAATGTCTCAAATAACTGTTAGTCGTCAGCTCCGTTGGCACCACGTGCTTATTAGCAGCTGGACAAACATCGTGTGAAATCAGGACGTAAGAATAAGGGCCTGATCCGATCACTGCTCTGACGGCAACACTTTCTCACGAACACTTTCTCAAATAAGCATTTTCGCTGGACTTTTCTTGAACCGGACCCTTGATACACAGAGGAAGAGACTCGTCCTGAAGACAAGGAGGAAGAAACTCGTCCTTTAAGACAAAGAGGAAGAACCGCGTCCTGAACACAAGGAAGAAGATCGTCCCTGAAGACATAGATGGAGAAAGTCGTCCTGGAGACACGGAGAGAGATCGTCCCTGAAAACACAGAGGAAGAGACTCGTCCTAAAGACAAAACGGAAGATCGTCCCTGAATACGAAGACGTGGAGGAAGATCACCAGCCGGGCTAGAGCAGGTTCTTGTTGTGTGTCACAGAGGGGCGTATTCGGGTCCAGCGGCACAAAAACCAAACAACAACAACTGCAAACGAACCCTGGAACATTCGTCTCACATTGTCCTTAAGCGGATGGTCATGACTCACACCTGCAAGCTGGACGTGGCACAGTGCATGATAATATGACGGGTGACGCTAAACGGGACGGGTGGTTTGGGGCCAGTTTACTTACATCTCATTTGGATGGAAGAGATTCAGGTAGAAGATACCAGGACGAGCTCCATCCGCTGTCCCCGCCAGATATTCTCCTCCTACCCCATCATACGGCATCGGCACTATTCTGAAACAGCAGAGTAGATGTACAAGTGTCCTTATGTAGTACGTTATGTTGACTTAATACGTATTGAAGTTTTTTCATAAATTGTATTTTTACGTGAACTATATGATTTCATGCAATATTATCAATATTTCAGCAATATCATGTCGAGGGGACGTTTATATATTATACCCATCTGGATTATCAATCACCGACCTTTGGCGTGACAGATTTATGCTATCTTTTCGAAACTCGACTTATATATATTTGTATTACATACTTGTGTTTGATGGTAGTTTGATTTCAGGAATTATATATTAAACTAAACGCCAAAAGAAAGTGTCCCATGACGAAAATATAACCAATTGCATTGAATGCAAAGTCATATGTATTGGAAGGATGGATGGCTTCCACAGTATTTAAAACTGTTTACACAAGTAAACAAAGCAAACTTATTTAATTTACAGAGAAAGGATTCACATGGGTTCAAATTTCAGTTTCACAATTTAAATCATAGAGTTTGAAATTCTTTATCGAGTTCAATGTACACTCCAGGCTGCTCTTGTGGTCAGTATCCTATGTGTCCTCGAGGGTTAATGCACCCACAAAACACAACGTCTCACTGACGCTGTGAGACGTCTGATGACGCCATTGGGAATGTTCTGCCATTCCTGTGATAAAGGTCTTCATGAGGGGTCGTGACCTTTGGTCTGCCAGTTCTCGGTCTATCCAAGGTCGTGCCTAGTTGTTGAAAACGTTCCATTGATCTGTTGATGGTTTTACGGTGGCATCAAAACGTCCTTGTAACGTGGGCGTGAGACGCGCCCATGTTGGTCATGTTTATTGTTCTTTCTCTCTGTTCGCGGCTTAGCCTGGGCATTTAAAATGTGTTTTCCTGTCATCTAAGCTCTATAGGGTTGCATTCACAATGACTTGGTTCTCAATGGGAATTTTGTGCGTTTTGATATGGAAAAGTATGTATTTCTGTTTTATTCCCAAAGTGCACGAAATTCTCAATTGTTGGCAAGTTTTATTTGACCTACATTTGGGATGCTTTTAAGTGCATAGAAAACATTCAGTTTCGTTTGTGGAATCACTTCCCCCGAAACATAATTTCAAAATTTTGATGGGACACTTTCTTTTGGCATTTAGTTTAGGTATTGTTTCAATGCTTAATTGTACCTTAAAGGCAAATTTGGGATGTCTTTGAACAGTCGTGGTAGCTTTGGATATATCTCATTGTAGATAATATCGTTGTACTTCTGTAGAAGTGTTTTCTGAAAAAAGATACATAATTTTTAAAAATTAAAATAGAAGACTGGATTCAATCGCCATCTTAAACTTGGATATTGCACTCTCTCGACCCGTGAAGATATGGGTGAGATCGGGTGGTCAGACTTGATTATTTACAGACCGTCGTAATTTAGCTGGAACATTGTTGACTGTGGCATTAAACATCAAACAAACAAGACTTGATTCTCCCCTTGATAGAAACCGGATTGAGATATAGAACCTTCCCCTTTATATTAACCCTAAAATTATGTACCCGCTTTGTTCGTAGACACCGGATTCTGCACCCACTAAGCCCCGCTTTATTCGTGGACACAATAATCCATACCTAGTAAGAACCCGCTTAATTCGTTGACACATGATTCTGTACCTGGTAAGTACCCACTTTATTCTCGGAGACGGGGCTCTGTACCTACTAAGCACTCGATTTATTCGTAGAGACACAGAAACCTGTACCTAGTGAGATCTTGCTTTAGTCGTGGAGACGGGATTCTATACCTGCTAAGACCCCGCTTTATTCGTAGATAACGGATTCTCCTCTCATTTAGCTCCCGCTTTATCCATGGACACGGGAATCTATACCTAGTAAGTTCCCGCTTTATTCATGGAAACGGGATTCTACACCTGCTAAGACCCCGCTTTATTCGTGGACACCGGATACTGTAGACACGAAGCACCCGCCTTATTCGTGGACACAGGAATCTACTTATTCATGAAGACGGCATTCTGCACCTACTAAACTCTGTCTTTGTTTTTTGAAACAGGTTTCTGTAGATGTTAAACCCTCACTTTACACCAAGCCATGGGCCACTATGTGTACTCCCATCCCGCCTCCTTCCCTGGCGGACAAGGGATGGCCTACATACTTACCCCAGACGTCACGTGGAAACGGGGATCACTGCGGACCTCATTGAAGAAATCAGAAATAGTTCCATTGAAGTTCATTCTGTCCATTGTCTAGAAAGATTCAACACATTTTATCAAAACATGTGTAACATGATTTACCTAAAACGTACCCTAACACCGTTATCAAGCAAATGATCCGTTATCAAGCAAATGAACTTCTTTATTGCAGTGGATGCGACGTTTCGGTGTAGACCCTAACACCTTATTTGGTGTCATTTGCTTGATAACGGTGTTAGGATCTACACCGAAACGTCGCATCCAAAGCAATAAAGAACTTGTCTACCCATAAAACGTGTTCCTCTTTATCATACCAGCTTCTAAACGCCACTAAAGGAAATTGAAGTAGCACTTTAAATCACTTCAATCATGACAACAACTACAGATCACATGCAATCTCATTAGTATAAATTTTAACATTTTTGGTATCATGCAATCTCATTAGTATAAATTTCAACTTTTTTGGTATCATGACCGAAAACGAGTAACACCATAACCACGACAGCATGGCAGCCGTGCATGCTTGGAGACGTACTTGCTCCATCTTTCTCCGTATCCTGGCCACCTCGCTCAGGCCCAACCCGTGAACATATTCCGGCGTGATGTCCAGCGACAAGTGCCACCGTAGACATGCCCTGTAGTTCTCCAGCCCATGGTCCCACTGACCAATACCCCAGGATGACCGGGCGTGGGGCAGGTATTCCTGGAACACGACACAGAAACAGTGAAGGAAAACGTCAATGTTGTTTTCACCGGCAAAAAACGTTTTAGTCTAAAGCGTCTTTTCGTTGAGCGGTTCGATTCCGGTTGCGTCATGTCATAGGATGTAAAAGGTGCCTGGGACTTGGCATACTATAAGGGATAAAACAAGAACCGGTCGGCTCGGGTCCGTGTACAGTCTCCGAGTTGGGTATCAAATGACTGTTTAACAGCGTATACTATCTTAAAGGGCTCGCGCTATAACAGAGGAATATATCTGGACAAGTAAAACAAACACGCACACACACATCCATACAGAAATGCAATGCATGCACACATTCACACACACGCACGCACATACGCACACGCATCGCTATATGTGTTCAGTAATCATGAACATGTAATGAAATCCCGATGTAACATGAACATATATAACCATCACACTAACGGGGAGGTGTGGAAACCTAGTGGATAAAGCGTTTGCTCGGCACGGCAAAGACCAGGGTTCGATTCCACACATGGGTACAATGTGTGAAGCCCATTTGTGGTGTCCCTCGCCGTGATATTGCTGAAATTTTGCTAAAAGCGGCGTAAGACTATATTCACTCACTCTTTACTATTATTGCTTGAAGGTCACAGCAGTAATAAAACACATGTTCATTTTCAGTGGACGAGCAGAGGTTAACAATGCAAGAATATTAATAATAGTGAGTAATACAGATGTCCAGCGTTGTAGTGTTACATGTATAAAGTAAGAAAAACTTACAATTATTTATTGATGATGCGCAAGAAGAAACTATAATAATTTGGAACGCAATACAGTACCCTTCAAAAATAAATTATCAACGATTAGGAAACGGGGAATGCTAAAACTGACACCAATGCAATAACTTCATTATACTTGTATGGTGCTGTAAAACTGCCGATTTATAAATAATTATTACATTTATGTACTACATTACATTTATGATATAGTTCTTCAGTGTTCGGAATGCCTCTATGACGTCATTGACCAATTGTTTTCCCTTGTCTCTGATCTCATCTCTGAAATGGAACATTTGGCGAATTAATTCACTCCTGAAGAGATTCAAATTCATAATTATATTCATTATATTGTACATCCGAGAAGAAAGTTGATAATATGCTCTGATCAATATTCACTGGAAATATGAAATATAAATGCTAATGTAATGAATAATCAACAGCAAGAACTATCTGCTGGACACGAAGATTCACAATGGTATAAAAGCGACAACATCCTTTCCATATTCATGAGATATTTCTGATAAAAAAGAGTCAATTGTGCGGTCAGGCTATATCATGAGCTTGTGTTAATGATTCACTTTCAAACTGTGGTGTTCGCGAAAAGGTGAGCTTATCCTGAAACAGCTGGCTCTTAGCAAAAAGGTCATGGTATCCTGAAACATCTGCTCTTAGCAAAAAGGTCATGGTATCCTGACCCATCGGTGGCACCAGTCACAAACACATGCAAAGACAAGTCAAGTATCCACCTTAAAAACACAGCAGATGGCAAAATTAGTTACATCAGACATAATTTGTGTCACTGATCCGTCAAAATTGGGAAGGATCTAGATATCTACCATACATTCTGTGACGAACGATGGCATCTGCACTGTTTATTCACAATGCATTCCTTTTAACGATCATTATTGAAGGTTTGTTAGGAACTACCTTTTAACCTCCGTTACACTTGACATGTCGAGGAATGGACTGTAGAAGGCTGATTGTGTCACGTCATCAACGAGCAACTTCTCTATCTGGCCAGGAACCGGATCCTGTTGAAAGAAGATGATGAGTAAATACCAGATTGACACCGCTGCCTTTGGAAAATAGATATTGATGAACACATTGCATGAAAACGGTATTCAACCTATTTGAAATGAAATATAAAAAAATATAAAATATAAAATATTTGACTGACCTAAATTGGCGGGAAAGTATTGAAAGTTAATTAATTAAGTTCCTGCACATGGTGCTGTTATATGTTTAATTATAACATCACGGTGGGGATTTTACATGTAACAGGGGGGCCTCATATGTCGCAGAAATGTCAGGACTCGAACCTAGGACTCGGCGTAAAGAAAGAACTCACAATCACAAAGCTACCCTATTGCACCTTGTTCTGATACACATGGAAATAGGTTGCACTTTACACTGGAACACACGAAAACCTTCTATCATAAGATGAACATCTCATACCAATGAGCTATCCGCTACCTACTAATGTACTACTTACTGGTGGCCTCTCTACAGAATAACACTGTATGCCTGAATGTCTTAATCAGTCTGACACAAGGTTTTACTAGCCGCAGAGAAGCCTCGTTAATACGGAAAGTGTATAGGTAATGCAGAAATCCGGAATCAACAGATTCGTTTGATTTCCTCTACTTTAACCACGATATACTTCCTAAATGATTTTTCAAGAATCTTACATATTGACCTAAAGTTGCATGAGTCTTGTTAAATGCACATCGAGAATGGCAAGTGAATTCCTAGCTCAGAATGAACTGCAAGAATTGTAGCCGATATCATTATGCTTCACTTTGATTCATTAATAAGGAACCTCGCTCTATTTGAGTTGGATTAACGGTGTTGTCTCTGTAAATGCTGTTGTGTTGTGTGACCACCTACCACGGAAACTCTGTGTAGAGTGTGCTGTTGGCGTACTGCCTCACCAAACAGATATCTAAATTCTGCAAGCTGAAAGTAAACAAAACATGTTACAACTTACGTAGCAAGTTAATGCTTGTGACAAGTCCAATTTCGGCACCCTGAAACTTTTTGTTGTTTAACTCACAGGGCAAGCAAGACCAATTCCAATTCGGGTCTTTGAAACTATTGCATGTACTGTGGTGTTAGTGTTTATCTTGCTAATACTGATGCGACACTGCTTGTCACTGCCAGATCGGTTTGTTGTTAAACGCCGCACTCAGCAATATTCCAGCTTTTTGTCGTCGGTCTGTAAAATAATCGAATCTGGACCAGACTATCCAGTGATCAACAGCATGAGCATCGATCTACACAATTAGGATACGGTGAAACGTGTCAACCAAGTCAGCTAGCCTGACCACCCGATCCCGTTAGTCGCCACTTACGACAAGCATGGGTTGCTAAAGACCAATTCTAACCCGGATCTTCTCGGGTTGATGCGACACTGCCAGATTTCGAGGACTGGTGCAGCAGTGTATATATCGAAGATGCATCGTTTTGGAAGATTGCAAACGGTTGTGATAATGCTGGACACTTCATACGGTCGTGACCAAGGCGATGATGCTTACAATAGCGCCCAAAGGCATGGGAATGGTTGGTCTCAATAAGAAAGGCTAGATGCACTTCAAGCTGATTACCTTTGAAAATCGTTTGTTCCATTCTTTTGACCATGTCATATGACAATAAATATCATCATTGTCTTTCAAAATGAATTTGAATAAAAAACTCATTTACATTCAGTAAATATGGATTATCTGTCACTCGTGGGATAATGTCCTTAGAAAAGGCATCTTAACATTAAATCACTCGGGAGGAATAGCACTGCTGGGATCTCCTGAACAATGTGTTAGCCATGTCTGTGCTGAGACCGTGCAGGACATGATTTAAAGTCAACACCCACGTAACGTTTGAATAAACGGATCGTCTCACACGTCCCTTATCCCATTTGCGACGTGTAATCTAATATTCAAACTTTCAAGACCTCGCGTAAACACAGGTTTGAAGAGAATAATGACGAACAGGGCCGCTAAGCAGATGATGCTCTCACTGTACTTGTCGACACAAAGTGACCCGAAATGCTTTCTGATCAATTTCTCATCCTCTTGAGGGAAATGTGTTATAGACACGGGGACATCCGTAATCAGGGGGCTTAGTTACATCAGGAATATCTTTTCGTGATGTGTGTATAAGGCGGGCACGTTTTCGTCCGTGTGGGATTAACATTTGTTACAACAGCCCTAGTATGCGTCAGCGGATTGAGCAAATAACAAGAGCAGATTCAGTCAAACACGATTGTGTCGAAGTTGAAAGCACTTATGTACTTCGAGTTATCAGAAGTTCGATTTATGAGACAAATGATTCAATAGGCTATGTGAAGGGACTAAGTTTTTACTTCGAGACAACTTTAAATTCGACTCATTAAAGTTCGACACAATGGTGTTTTAGTTATGTTTGTTCGTTGTTTAAGGCCACAGACAGCAAATGACGGCACCTGAAAATCATCGACATTGGGCGTTGATCACAACAACTCTATTACTTCAAAGACGTATATTCTGTTAATGGATACATTTCGCCACAGAGGGTGAATCGTACACAAAATGTAAATATACTGAGGGAAAAAAATAAGGGATCACATGAAAGCACAAGTGTTCCCTTGATTTTTTCCAGGTTTCTTCACAGCTATGCGATACAAAGCTTGTGAAGAAATTTGGAAAAAATAAAGGAACACTTGTCCTTTCATGTGATCCCTTATTTTGGTCCCTAGAGTATATGACTTACTTGCTTTGGTAGCTTATGGAGGCGTCGAAGGTAGTTTTCGTAGTCATGGTCTGTTTTGAACGGCAGAGTCTCAAAGAAGTGAGCAGGGTTGGTCTGCAGTCCTTCCAGGAAGTTGATAGGATTCAGCGTCTCGTATCTGGAGAATGACCAAGATGAAAGCCACGTGAATTCATTGTTCCAGGATTAACGTTTCGTGTTTATGGCAAATGAAAAATATTGAGGCTGTTATATTCGGAGCTATATATGTACAGCTATTTCATTCAGGTCTTTCTGTGTCCTGCTAGACAAACGTTTAGTCACTGAATACATCGAATTTTGATTATGACAGATAAACCCATTTAATTTTAAAAGGAGCCCCACGGAGACCAGGGATTCCTGAACCTGGGGAAATCTTGCTTCAGTTATGGCTTTATCATCGTAGGGAGGGCAAGGCTCTAAGAAAAATAATATAGTTCAGGGTCTGTGAGATAGACGAATGTCCTGCTTGCATTATGGAATTATGAAATATTTTGTGTTTGACCATATTCAGGGTTTTACGAGACTCGTAAATGTGCGTCCAGTACCCACAAATGTAGAGTATGGACGCAGACAAGTAATTCACAATAGTATTCATTGTACCCACGAATCTATGACTTTGCTAAGTGTTTTTGTTGTTGTTTCTTTTCAGAAACAATCATTTAATTATTTCATCTATTAGTCCACATGATCAATGATTCATTCCAGGCTCTGAAGAAATTATCGAAACGTTCTCCACACTGTTACTTCTCAGGACCATCATATTGTCCGTAGGGACCTTTAAAACTAATATTTTTTGTGAGTCAAGGTAAAACCCTGTCATATGTAATATGAATCGTAGATACGTAGCTCCTCACAATCTCCACGTGAACCCGTCAAGATACGTCTCAAGATGGTCACTGAGGATCTGGTAGTCTGACTTGTCTGCCGTGTCGAGATCGTTGAAGTCGACATCCATGAGGCGCTCCAAAAAACCTTCTACAACAATCTGCAGGAGCGAGAAACAGTTTTCAGTTGGGACTGAACGAATGACCTTAAAATATTTTTGGTAAAACCGATATATGGAATAACAGATAGCATCTACAACCCTTGAGTTGAGAAAAAACTACTTAACTTGCACGAGTTGGATTAATCTTAATTCATTAATGTATTTTGTTCTTTTGCATCTGAATGACAAAATTCTGGGTGGGTGGAAGATCGCTTTCGCAATATGGCAGTTAACGTGAATCACACATTTCAGTTTGACACAAGCCTTTAATTATATCGGGGCGGTAGGGTAGCCTTGTGGTTAAAACATCGCTCGTCACGTCGAAGATCCGGCTTCGATTCCCCACATTGGCACAATGTGTGAAGCCCATTTCTGGTTTCCCTCGCCGTGATATTGCTGGAATATTACTAAAAGCGGCGTAAAACTAAACTCACTCACTTACTCTAATTAAATCGATTTTCGCATGGGACTATATAACAAACTCTTCTCTCCTTTCGCATAGACACCTAATGCGTGCTGGAAGGTAACCAGCCATATCGTCGAAATACACTTTGAAGAAGGATCGATTGAATCTACAAGGCTTTTCACATAGGAGACAAGATCAAAACATCTAACCACATTATAGATGGTGCCTTTGTAGTAAGGCTTTTGTTCTATCGCTGTGACTCTTTCGTAGAAGCGTATTATCTCCTGGGACAAACATTGAACAAATTGATTTCATGTCAGGATTGACCGGTGGCACAGCGACACACATTACGGTAAAAGTCAAAAGCATTCATGGTTCTGTGTATTCCTATATAGCACCCTCTATTTGCTATGTCTACCCTCACCATATGAATATCCATTTATGACATAACAGCAGTCAAGCATTACTATGGGGGGTTCATCACAGCATCATTATATAACTTATATAAAATACCCTGACAATGTTTTGACAAAAAATATTTTTCATGCTATGTATCAAACAAAAGCTACATTTTCAGTTCAGCACAGGTCTGCAACATTTGAAATGCATTTTGACTATTTTGTATGCTGAAGTGATGGACTTATCATTTATCTGAGAACATGGTATTTGAATAATGGTCTGTAACTAAACATCACAAGGATAAAACATTGCCCACTGTGGAAATACAAACAGGAAAGCCCAAATCCACCAAAGAGACAAGTTTCCGAAACATAACACAAATCTGAAATCCATACATGTCTCGTTGTCCCTTCATATTGCCTAACTCCTCACACCATGCATGTTTTCGTTGCTCTACAAAATGAATGATTATTCAGTGCAAGGAATCCCACTGACACCCATTTCCCCTGTGACCATGTGCTTTAGACAAAGTCATTTAATCCTGATGGAGGTCACAGGGTCTGCTGCAATCTAATGCTAAGAACGCATTATCTTCCGCAACACGCACGTCCCCTATTGGCTGTGAGACACTGAGGAGAGGTTCACATGCGTCTTGACTATATTGTAATCAGTGGAAAGCTATTTTGTTCCATGCATACAGAGTAATCTTTTTGTAAACGGAAGACTTGATATTTCTGACCTTACAGAAAAGACTTTATGTCTTTCTTCAAGCCGAAAAGCGATTATACCAGGTGGGTGTAACTCATGAAACCATTGCTCGTAGCCAAGCCTGGAACCATATAATATTTATATATTATTTACCATATAATAAAACTAATTCACTTCAATGATAAATTTTGAAGTATTGATATATCGTACCAAGTTGTCAAGTACATAGTTTCTTTTGAAGCCAAAAGAAGTATGTATAGGTACAAGATAACCAGCGGTTGTGGACTATTTGTGGATGTTAACTGAGCTGTAATATTGACTTATATATATGTCTACAATCGTATCTTATTCTATGCGTGTGTTCCAGGAATTTTGAAGAAAACCTATTGACCCCAGTGTGGTTTACCACGTAAACATTGAAGGATGTTTGTGAAAATGTAATGAATACAGTTTTATGAAAATGTAATGAAAACAGTTTTATGAAAATGTAATGAAAACAGTTTTATGAAAATGTAATAATTACAGTTTTCTGAAAATGTAATAATTACAGTTTTATTATGAAAATGTAATAATTACAGTTTTATGAAACAGTAATTTGGTCTACACAAAAGAACACTTTTGTGGCCGAGGGAAGGATAACCATTTCTATTCAGCAAATCGTTTAAGCATAAGAGAAGATTTGCCTTAGCCTGGTTAGGATGAAAATCCACTAACATCCATGGTTTACTGGGTATATAATCTAATCGGTCAAATAATGTGATACGGTTCCAAGTATCACGAACACTGTAAAGATATGTTTCATTATTATCGCATAAACTTCAGAATAACGTCATCGACCACTTCTTGCATGTCGATAACATTTCGAATGGCTAAATGATTACTGTTAGGATAATGATATTCAATACAATATTTTCAAAATGAACACAATTACATTTAATAACTTCTGGGCCCTGGTGAATAGCGCAAAGTGTATTGACGCTCGTACTTGACGAACGAAGAATTCATAGCCAATGGGGACTATGTCAGGTCATATGCAGCATTAACACATCAGCTGTGTGTAACATGGAAACACTGCCAAGCCTTGCCTCGAGGGACACAAGTGTAAGGTCATTTGTATTCTGTTCCAAATGACTGCACTGATGAAAACGTAAATGCTTGTTTTGTTTGCTTTACCTTAAAGGATTCAAGTATCGTTTTCATCTCTTTGAAACGGAGTATGCAATTAACTGATCATTTACAAATGCAATAAATTGAGATTCGATATTGCAGATATTTATAATTTGATAAAACTGAATGAGTATTTGATCGATTTGATCGGGGCTGAGAGAGAGAGAGAGAGAGAGAGAGAGAGAGAGAGAGAGAGAGAGAGAGAGAGAGAGAGAGAGAGAGAGAGAGAGAGAGAGAGAGAGAGAGAGAGAGAGAGAGAGAGAGAGAGAGAGAGAGAGAGAGAGAGAGAGAGAGAGAGAGAGAGAGAGGTTGACTCCTCTGCCCAACATTTAACACACAACACACACGCTTTGCTTCTAAAAGGCACGTGACATCTTCTAAAATAACCTTTCTGAGAAACATAAAACCTTCAGAACTAATAGTAATTTAAGTTCCTGAAAAATATCGATTTCATAAGTTTCCAAAACGTTTTTATATAAAGGAGCCATTAAGGTCAAAAAGTAACGTCGACATTTTATGTTAGTGTTGAAGCATGGGCATAGTTTTCCTGGAACAGGTATAAGGGACTCCATGTTGCCTGTCACGATTGCCCTAGTTTCTTTGGTAGGTATTTAAGAATATTTTATTATTATTTTCAGGATCTTCAGGAAAATATAAAAGTTTCTTAGCCCCACTTCATTATATTCTGCCGCCATATAGCTGGACTATTGCTGAGTGCGGCATAAACCTAAATTCACTCACTCACTCATTATATTCAATAACTGTAGTTTCGGTAAAGTATATGCCTTTCAGAGACTAGATTGCTGCTATATGATACAGATTGTGTCAGATTGTGTGGCGTACACATACCCGCCTAGATTCGAACACGGACACATTGTAGGAGGCCAGCTTGTCGTTGTATCTTGTAATGCCAACTGAGGAAGCAAACTCCGGCGCTTGTTCCATTCTCCATTCCCAGAAGTCGCTTTCAATCAGCCGCAAACTTTCACCTGTCACAACTATAGAAACAGTAAGACAACACAGAAGCATTGTATTTGGTTAATATATGTTTGCATTATCATATTGAATTCAGGGAGATGACTGACTTCCATGTTATACATACAACATAAGAATGAGTGAGTTTAGTTTTACGCCGCAATCAGCAATATTCCAGTTATATGGCGGCGGTCTGTAAATAATCCAGTCTGGACCAGACAATCCAGTGATCAACATCATGAGCATTGATATAAACAATTGGGATACGATGACATGTGTCAACCAAGTCAGCGAGCCTGACCACCCGATCCCGTTAGTTGCCTTTTACGACAAGTATGGGTTACTGAAGATCAGTTCTAACCCAGATATTCACGGGTAAGAACACCCATGACTGTTGTGGGGATGAATAAACTAGCATTGGTTTCTTTGATATCTTCAAATCATATGCGCAAGACAGTTAATAGATCACACAAAACGAAACAAATATCTGACTATTACATTTGAACGTTAAAGTAAAATTGTTGTATACAATTAATATCAGAAGACTTAGTCATACACGTGATATCAAATGGAGGGTTTGTATCGTATCAGGTTCCATATGTTGCCGGTGTGAATGTGTAATTAGGATTCTGCCAATGTTGTTGCGCCCATCTATAAAACGGATGATTTGCATTGCGATTAGGTTACTAGTCACAGACAAAACAAAGCCATTGCAAACAATATAGTTCACCATCGCCATCTGCGAGGACCTGCCATCAAACTAAACCTTACAAACAACTGTAATTCAGTAGCGATTAGAATTATTTCACAAAAGCTGTTTGATCATGTAATGTATGACATAGCTTTTGGAGAATGTCAATATGTTTTGTATTCCTTTGAAGAGTAGTCTTTGATAAAACAGCCACGGTCTTTGAAATGCCAGCCGTCTACTGTTGGAAAGAAATTGTTTCAAAGGCAATTAATCTCAAACGTAATACACAAAAATATACATCACAAAAATCTTACGAACAAAAGCTTACCAGGATTGGAAATGTTAAACTATATAAACTAATTCTTTAATGGGAACAGTATCCTCAAGTTTGACTGAGTCTATATGAAAAGTGTCGACTTATGCTTGCCACCGTAATCGGGAGAAAAACAATATCAATCAATGCGAACTGCGAATATCATTTGGTAAATAAAAAAGAAACATATCAAACAAGCATCACACGATGGAGACAAAAATAATGTTTCTTTGTATCACGCGATGGAGACAAAAATAATGTTTCTTTGTATCACACGATGGAGACAAAAATAATGTTTCTACATATCATGAGATGGAGACAAAAATAATGTTTCTTCATATCACATGATGGAGACAAAAATAATGTTTCTTTGTATCACACGATGGAGACAAAAATAATGTTTCTTTGTATCACATGATGGAGACAAAAATAATGCTTCTTTATATTGATGGAGACAAAAATATCACACGATGGAGACAAAAAAAAATAATGTTTCTTTGTATCACATGATGGAGACAAAAATAATGTTTCTTTGTATCACACGATGGAGACAAAAAATAATGTTTCTTTGTATCACATGATGGAGACAAAATAATGTTTCTTTGTATCACACGATGGAGACAAAAATAATGTTTCTTTGTATCACACGATGGAGACAAAAAATAATGTTTCTTTGTATCACACGATGGAGACAAAAATAATGTTTCTTTGTATCACACGATGGAGACAAAAATAATGTTTCTTTGTATCACGCGATGGAGACAAAAATAATGTTTCATCACACGATCACATAATGGAGACAAAAATAATGTTCTTCTTTGTATCACACGATGGAGACAAAAATAATTTCTTTGTATCACATGATGGAGACAAAAATAATGTTTTTCTTCACACGATCACACGATGGAGACAAAAATAATAAAACAATCTTTCTTTGTATCACACGATGGACAAAAATAATGTTTCTTTGTATCACACGATGGAGATAAAAATAATGTTTCTTTGTATCACACGATGGAGACAAAAATAATGTTTCTTTGTATCACACGATGGAGATAAAAATAATGTTTCTTTGTATCACACAATGGAGACATAAATAATGTTTCTTTGTATCACACGACGGAGATAAATATAATGTGTCTTTGTATCACAAAATAATGTTTTTCTTATATGGAGACAAAAATAATGTTTCTTTGTCATCACACGATGGAGACAAAAATAATGTTTCTTCATATCACATGATGGAGACAAAAATAATGTTTCTTTGTATATCACACGATGGAGATAAAAATAATGTTTCTTTGTATCACACGATGGAGACAAAAATAATGTTTCTTTGTATCACACGATGGAGATAAAAATAATGTTTCTTTGTATCACATGATGGAGACAAAAATAATGTTTCTTTGTATCACACGATGGAGACAAAAATAATGTTTCTTTGTATCACACGATGGAGACAAAAATAATGTTTCTTTGTATCACACGATGGAGATAAAAATAATGTCTTTGTATCTTTGTATCACACGATGGGAGACAAAAATAATGTTTCTTTGTATCACACGATGTAGACAAAATAAGACGATCGAGATAAATATAACGTGTTTTTGTATCGCATGATGTAGACAAAAATAATGTTTCTTTGTATCACACGATGGTGAAAAAAATAATGTTTCTTTGTATCACGCAATGGAGATAAAAAATTATGTTTCGTTGTATCACACAATGGAGATAAAAATCGTGTTTCTTTATAAAAACTATTGTTTCTGTCAAATTAGCACTAAGTGTTGGTATGCTTTATAACAGACCCCCTACATTGTCAGCCGAACAACATTTGTTTCAAGCTACTGTTTGAGAAAGCAACATGTTCGCCTGGACCTACACATCGGTTTTCTGAAGTGCTCAATCTGTACTATGGGCAGCATATACAATATTGATGACAAGGAGCATAAAAAACACACAATGTCTATTGCTGATATACCTACATTCCACACTCTGAATGGCTTTGGAAGTGTTCATGATTCAAGAGAAAAAGGATCCTCCATACATTACATTTTTACATTATTAGTTTCCCTCAGGTAACCTTCTTTTGTTCATGTAGGCATCCTCATAATATAGTCAAAGTAGTACAATCGATTCTGCTTTCAACAGAGATTTGTTATGAAAATAAGTTTTTCAACTACTACAAATTTAATTAGAAAATTAGAAGTATATCTCAATGTCAATGTGAGGGATGGTACTAAAGGTGTTTTTCAATACGCTCATCATACAATAAAAAATATTTCTATTTTCTGAGCAATGATTAACATCACTTTACTGGGCCGATGTCAATATTGACATCAATGTGCAAACATTGAAGATTGTCCCTTAATAAATATTGTCACAGCAATGTATGTGATGCAGCTACATTTTACATGGATGTATCTCAGGAAAAGCTCTCACGATCCCAAATGGTTTAAGGATGATAAAAATATAAAGGCTTTGCAGTGCATCCAAACACAAGAAACAAAGCTTCAAGTGAAGCAGAATGAACATTTAAGGAGTTCTTGAGAACCGAATGGTATTAATATTACAGTGAAATATCAGGGACGAGTAGAGACAACCCAAGGTACCATCAACGAGTATGAGAACAACAGCCATCAGTATTGTGTCTTCATTATAAATATATGATACCCTACGATGTATCCAAGGTACAAATAATCCCACCTTGACGGATCAATATCAGTATTGATAGTGTCTATATGTACATACTGATTCAGCTTACGGTTCGTTCACTACGTAATGGTTTGTAAAGAGATCCATGTCTTCGTTTACATTGACATATAGACTTGTGTTAGGGGGAATATATAACATCGATAATATTATTCAGCCCGTTGAAATTATAAGATGTAATGTTATGCACGTATATCTATCAACAAAATTACTTACGCGGAGTCACGTAGTTTCATTTCATTGGTTCAGAGTATATAAAGGATTACAGGAAACTATTCTCGTATCAAACATGTCATCGATATCGTATCCCAAGTTCGTAGATCGATGTTCATGATGTCAATCACTGCAATGTCTGGTCCAGACTCGATTATTTACAGACATATTGCAGTCATATAGCTGGAATATTGCTGAGTCAGGCGTTGAAACAACAAGAAAACGTGAGCTCAGTTTATAAACTCGTATGCCGTCCTGAAATTAGTTCTCTGAGTGTACAGCAATTAGTCACATACCAAGAATGGCTCCATAACTGAAATTGTTTCTGGAAATCTAGAAAGAGACAGTGCGGTTTTTTGGCATATAGTATAGTACTAGATGTATACTCACAGGCAAAGGTTATTGTGATTGACTTTAAGTTAGATATGTGAATTAACAACTGATATTTTCATGATCATGGTCATGGCTCATTTTAAACGTTTCTGGTGGACACATGCTAATGAGGTCACAGTGATAGAAGGGTCAAAATGAAATTCACACAGTCAATAACGTGTATGTCCACCATGAGCACTAATGCTTGCTTGACACCTGCGCCTTATAGACTAATCAAACGTCGCAAGAAGTCTTGTGGAATGGCATTCCATATTTGTAGAAGCACCTGGCAGTATGAAGAAGCGTGACTGGGGGTGCGGTGTAAGAGGAATCTGGACTCGTCAGGGTAGAGAACATGTCTCCACTCCACTCACGTGCTCTCCACCGCAGATGTCTGCACCACTGCAGTCGCAGACGTTGGTGACGTAATGTCAAAATTTGTCGGCTGGCAGGACGTCCAGCACGTATCCCATGTGCTGCTAGATGCCAGCGAATGGTCCTTGGCGATCTCTTTTTGACAACAGGAACTGTTCGGGCTGTCAGTGTGCCTGGTTGAAATCTTTGGTGCAGATGGGTGGTTCGAATCTAACGATCGTTGTGTGACGTGGTTACGGGTAGACGGCCACTTCGAAGACGGTCTGCAACGGCGGCGTTGTGTTAATAACGTCTCCACAAGCGGCATATGGTGTTCCTGTGCATGCTAAACTCCTGTGCAACGTTGGGCTGGGGTGTTGCGCCGGTTTCAAGCATTCCAATGGCTCACCAACATTTTCAGTTAGCCTTGGCATAGAGAAATGCAAGCAGATTCTTCCAAATTTTTGTTTTTGGACTCGTCGATGTCTAAACAATGATTTGAATAACACTGATTCGAGGTTTAGAGCCACACTTTTTAAAGGGCATGTTTTATGCCTTATTTCCATGGACTTTTTTAAAGCACGAAAAACTCATGCAAAAACCCAACAACTACCGAAAGGGCCCTGTTTGGGTTTTAGATTAAGTGTATTATAAAGAATATCAAAATAAATAATAAAAATGTTCTCATTTATACACAAATGTGTTGATCACACTAACTTTTGCCTTTGAGTTTATATTATACGTTCCTTAAACCATTCTGTCGATAACAATATTTCAAGGATAATCATATATACATATTCAACAAGAACAAGACATGTTGAGATAAATGTGTAATTGTCAACCTACCACTGGCTGTAATCACTGTTGCCCATAGCACCGTCATGTACACTGCTGACAGCAGTGTCATTGTCATCTGAAACAGTGCACTGCACTTACATAACACTGAAGTGTCGGGATTACTGAATATTCCAGTAGTGGAAAATTGGACGGATGCGTAACCATGGCGACAGGTTATGGAATTGTGGAACATTTGTTAATGCTATATGCGTCGGAATTGTCAAAATTGCATTACGCAGCTATAGAAGGAGAGCTTCACGTGCAAATATTACTTTGGAAATATTAAATAAGGGTAAAGATTAGAATGTGATACTAAAATTGTGTTACTGAACGGATTTATAACAAAATTACAAAGACATTCACGAAAAGGTCAATATTTTTTCTGTTTACGATAGGAACATTGATAATGGGTTTAACAGTAGAAATATTACCAGCGTTTCGAAACGTGAATAAATTTAGACGAAACTTGGCATTCGTAAGCAGTTGCGCAAACTTCACAAGAAGAGAGCAAGTATTTACCAGAACATTCAAGTAATTGTCACTAAATGGTTGGAACAATCGTAAATATGATTAAATATCCACGCATATGACATGGTTGCATATACCTAAAATATGGCAATAAACTGAAATACATACCTTTGAGCTAGATAAATAATCCGAGATTTTTAGCCACCCTCAAGTAGATGTCCATTTCACAATTGTACAATCCCGTTTACTTAAGGACTAGTAATGACATCAACAGACACACACAGCATTGACGACCAGATTCAACACAATCTGCACAACGGTCTGGAACACACCACTGACGGAACAATTGATTTACCAATTGTTTGTCTGGCTAAACGCACACAGCGTCTTATTTCGCTAGGAAGTCTCAAGACGTCTCTGATAACTATTAAGAAGACGATCCCATCAACGCGCATCCATGCCTGTGAAAGCACCTTTCGAAGTCGGCGATTAAATGTTTATAAGCAGTGGATGTTCTTTTCAAATAATGACGTCGAGAAATCGGTGAGCTGCTTCAAGCGACTGCATGGTCGTTTGGACAAAGGCACGTTTCGACATACATGAATTATAGATTTGTCTGTCAGAAACTTCGCACCACTGATCGTTAAGGGATAGTTCATGTGTAAAGTCCCGGCCATCCTGTGCACAAGGTGTTCAGTCATCTTCTCGGTTCAAGCGCTATAGATCATTTAATGAAGAACGTACACGGGATAGCACAAGCCAGATGGCTCACTGCCACGTAGAACATACCATACATGTTTGGCCCCTGCTGATGTGTTGTCAAATGTCAGGTTCACTTACTTCCATGGCTTTGTTTTCCACAAATGGCAGTTCCGATTTTGAATGAGAGAGTCTCATTAATGATGACATGTGACTGTTAAGGAAATGGCCCATCAGTCAGGTTGCTACCTAAAAAGTTATTTCAAAAGGCAAAGAGCAAAAGGAACAGTTGGCTAATATGTGGTATTGGTGGGAAGATGGTATGTTATAATAGATTGTATTGCCTGAGATTGGAACTTCAAAAACTTTGTATATCTCTCTCTCAAGTACAATACCTACCTACCTACCTACACACAAACACATACATACATACATACATACATACATACATACATACATACATACATACATACATACATACATACATACATACATACATACATACATACATACATACATACATACATACATACACATACACACACACACACACACACACACACACACACACACATACATACATACATACATACATACATACATACATACATACATACACACAAACACACACACACACATACATACATACATACATACATACACACATACATACACACACATACATACATACATAAATAAATACATACATACATACATACATACACAAACACACACACACATACATACATACATACATAATTACATACATACACACAAACACACACACATACATACATACATAAATAATAACATACATACATACACACAGACACACACACATACATACATACAGACATACATGATGAGATGGCACCAACGTAAGCGTAAACGTCGACATGTAGTGCCATGTCATTATATTATAGGCGTCACATATCTCATTGAAGGAAGGAGTTATTTCCAGCGTGTCTTCCAAGATCTTAACCACGATCAGTACCCACTATTAAAGGATATACGAATTACAACATAGCGGGACCCACACACATGCAGCTTACATCTGAACGTGCTGCGGGATAATTGAACCGAAAAACAGCTTGGCCTAGCGCTATGCTGAGTTTAGAACGAAAGGGTTAAATGGAAGGCACCGGCAAATTGATCTGTGGTAATCCGTTTTGAAAGTGCGAAGACAGTCTGATGGATAGAAGAATGGTGTCGCAGACACAAGGTGGTAAGGTGCGATAGCGGAACACTGCTTTACACTTTCATTAAAGCCTGACAACTCATACATTGATATTATTATTTGTACAATATCGGTGACGCATTTGTCACCAAGGTTGAAGTTGAACATTCGTTAATGGTGTAGTTTTGAATGTTTGTACAGAGTGAATGGTTAAGTTTCATGTTTGGATAAGCTACGAGGCGCCATTCAATGCACCATATGACGCCCATATAGGACACACAGTTTGTCTTTTAATAGAAGTAAGAATGTACATTGCCAGTCTGTATTTTTTATCGTAATATCTTACAATGATAGTCTATGATTATTATTAACAGATGATTAATTTTATATACTCATGTTACAGCACAAAGTCTGATAACTGATACAAAGAATGCAAGCACAAATACATTGATAAGTATCCTCACTTCACAAGTAGTAAGGAAGGAGTAGAGAGCTTAAATTACTCAGAAACCTTTAAATTCTTGCATATATTTCATCCTTGTCAACAGCTTGGAGTACCAACAATTGTGGAACATCTCAAAAAGACTGGCATCAACGTGTGGGTTATTTTCGTCGTCTATGTACTATCAGGATCCAGCGTGGCGCAGTCGATGTCAGACACATTAACGCTGGAAGGTGTCTAAGCCGAAGATAGCATTAACTATTAATTAACAACAGTCGCCGCTTTGATATACCGGTGAAAGGTTTCTCCCTGGTATCGTCCTCTCAGACTCTTGATCATCTGCCGTCTCGGATTTATACAAAATAGTATGATTATCTTCAAGGATCCTTGTTTCAATGCATCGACGGACTTTCATGTATAGCGAAAAGAACTGTCTATTTTACTTTAGGTTTTGTAAAGGCCTCAACAGTTCCTGTCTGAAGGATGGAGCGAGTAAGTTCGATTGATTCGGTCTTTCGAGAAAGAGAGGATCAGTGAAACGTCTGGTCAGATGGAGTAACAGTTAGTGAGATGTTTTATCAGATGGGGTGACCGTTAGTGTGATGTTTTGGCAGATGGGGTAACAGTTAGTGAGATGTTTTGTCAAAAGGGGGTAACAGTTAGTGAGATGTTTTGTCAGATGGGGTGACCGTTAGTGAAACGTTTTGTCAGATGGAGTAACAGTTAGTGAGATATTTTGTCAGATGGGGTGACAGTTAGTGAGACGTCTGGTCAGATGGAGTAACAGTTAGTGCGATGTTTTGGCCGATGGGGTAACAGTTAGTGAGACGTTTTGTCAGATAGGGTGACAGTTAGTGAGATGTTTTGTCAGATGCAGTGACGGTTAGTGAGATGTCTTGTCAGATGGAGTAACAGTTAGTGAGATGTTTTGTCAGATGGAGTAACAGTTAGTGAGATGTTTTGTCAGATGGGGTGACAGTGAGATGTTTTGTCAGATGGAGTAACAGTTAGTGAGACGTTTTGTCAGATGGGGTGACAGTAAGTGAGATGTTTTGTCAGATGGGGTGACAGTTAATGAGACGTTTTGTCAGATGGAGTAACAGTTAGTGAAATGTTTTGTCAGATGGGGTGACCGTTAGTGTGATGTTTTGTTAGATCGGGTGACAGTTAATGAGATGTTTTGTCAGATGGGGTGACAGTAAGTGAGATGTTTTGTCAGATGCAGTGACAGTTAGTGAGATGTCTTGTCAGATGGAGTAACAGTGAGACGTTTTGTCAGATGGAGTAACAGTTAGTGAGATGTTTTGTCAGATGGAGCAACAGTTAGTGAGATGTTTTGTCAGATGGAGTGACAGTTAATAAGATGTTTTGTCAGACGGAGTGACTGTTAGTGAGATGTTTTTGTCAGATGGAGTAACAGTGAGCTGTTTTGTCAGATGGGGTGACAGTAAGCGAGATGTTTTGTCAGATGCAGTGACGGTTAGTGAGATGTTTTGTCAGATGGAGTAACAGTGAGACGTTTTGTCAGATGGAGTAACAGTTAGTGAGATGTTTTGTCAGATGGAGTAACAGTTAGTGAGATGTTTTGTCAGATAGGGTGACAGTTAGTAAGATGTTTTGTCAGATTGAGTGACAGTTAATAAGATGTTTTATCAGACGGAGTGACTGTTAGTGAGATGTTTTTGTCAGATGGAGTAACAGTGAGCTGTTTTGTCAGATGGAGTGACAGTTAGTGAGATGTTTTGTCAGATGGAGTTTCAAATCATTCTGTCAGATGGAGTATGAGTTTCATGCGTGAGAAAAAGTTGTTTTGTCCTATGGAACAGATGAGAGTGATTCAGATTACTGACTGACACGGCAAAACATGAAGAATAACAGATTCAGACGGTTTTAAATGTTACTTACCTGTATTATATTTTTCATTTCAAATAATGTATTTAGTGTTAAGCGAGGTCTGATTTCCTGTTTTGATAATAACCGACAAGGGAATGGCGGATATCAGAAACAGTTATGCCTGTCCAAGCTTTCACTCCAAGTTTTAGGAACGTTTTTTAATCTGCAATAACAACTTGGGCAGGAAAATCTGAAAAATGACGTTTACCAATTTTGTTCGATGATTAATCGGTGGTAATGAACCAATCATCAATTATGAGATTTCAACCAATTTCCAATACCTGTCGAAAATGTAGTCGCTATAGAAAATCCCAGGCACCTTAGAAAATAAACGTAAGGCAGCTTGAAAGACGCATGGGGATAGCATACCAACAATGAACACATCCAATGCATCGAAAAGAAAGCATCTTCCAAGTCAAGCATGTTCGTGCCACTGTTTCTTGTCCTGCAAGTGTCTATTCTTAACTTTGTGATGTGCACGTAATCAATAGCTCCAAGAAAGATATGCCAATTTATTTCCAATCACAGCTGTAGCATCAGACCCCAGAGGAAGACAATGGACCGTCTCTTTACCTAGTTATAAGGAGACAAGTCAAGTTAAGAAATTCATGAAATCCCCTCGGGCTCACAGACGTAGGAAAAATCGCTGGCACTAACACGAACACATTTGTATGCAAATACCCATCGATCGCAGAAACCCAAGACGAATCCTCTTCGCAAGCCTCTACGGAAAGCGACAACCTGTCATATGTACTGTCAACTCGAGGATAACAAGGCAAAGATTAAACACCTGCTATGACAAGGATATTCTTGGGGTTATAGCGAAGAAAGAGCAATTACTGGCTTTATGTCGCTAGTGAAATTTCCCTTGCTACAATTTTCTGTTCTTTCGAGATGGTGACATACAAATATGTTGTAGAAATGGCTTGCGGGAACAATAGCATACGAGATAGATCAAAGGGAATTATATACGTTAATTTGCTGCTTACGCGATGAAAATAATCGATGGTATTTTGCATACACAACATGAATTATCCAATATAAGTCAAAGGATGTGCGTCTTGAAGGATTTTGTTGACAGTTTATTTCAGCTAACCTCTCACTCACACGTAAGTTGTTTGACTCGATCAACACATTATAGCATAACTTCTTATTGAGTAAAGATAGTGGATAATGACACAGATTTAGACTTTTGCACGAAACGAGTATGGATCCCAAGAACATTTAAAGAATCATGATGTATTATATATAAATGCATCCCAGTAAATCCTGGAACATCCAAAAGATGCAATTCTATGATGCCTTTGGGGATTCTTTTATTGGCAGCAGAAAAATCTCTTGAGAAGATTTATGTACTGCATTTATTCTGCATTAATTTAAACAGTGATATGCATATTTTATGGATGTTGCGATTTCTTATCAGTTTCTTATCAGGATTGTCTACAGACAGAATCGATTATCTACAGACATCTCCAAACAGTACTGTTGAGTTCAGGGTTGACAGTAACGTCACACAATCAGTATCACATATATCAGTCATTCCACCAAAATAGTGGTAATTGATGTTTATCCATGTCTCCAGCATACGCACGGTAATAGACATCTAAAAATAAACAAGAAACTGTTTTGGGGGGACTATAACTTTTGCTTAGGCAAGGCTGACTAGAAAACAAAAACAAACTGTTTCACTACTGTTTGTTATCGGTGCCAGAAAGTAGTCGTAATAAGTTCCAGACACTAAAAATGCAATGTCGCCAGTAAATTTCTATATTTAAATAAGGTGTGGTGCAATGCTGTTGTTGGAATTGTCAAAAATTAATATTATTTCTTGGAGATAAATATGTTAATTTTTTTCTAGAAAAGGTTCAACCTACAGTGTACCCAATCCAAGCTCAATTTTTTCTAGATGTTTTCATGTCGCCAAAAACTCGTTTAACCTACATAACGTTTTAATTATCACCAGTGACTTCAAAATACAGCCAGAAATAATTGCATTTTTCATTCAGAAGGGTGAATATATATTGTTAGCGTTAATGTCAACATAACAAATTACATATCTTTAGCATCGCGTTAGAACAGGATTTTGTGAATGTCGCATTTAAGAACCTAACCTCCATAAAATGTATTTCTTCCTGTAAACATTCATTTAACAAAGACTGAATTTACTCAATAAATAATTGATGAGAGAGGACTTAAAATATGTAACTTAAACGTCCACATGATGACATTCTTTGTAATTAGATGTCTGTGATGAAAAAAATCCTTATCTCCATAACTTATAACTTCCGTAACGGTAATCTATATAGCAAAGTAAAGATGGGGGCTTTTACAGGTTAACCGGTAAACCGAGTTTTTTCCACGAAACGGTACGTACCGCGGAAGGTCGCAGAAAAACGTTTTTTTCGTTCAAATAAAACACTAGTTTCTCTTCACAAAGATATGTGTTAGCAACATTTGTGATCTCACTAGTTTTTCTTTATATGGTTTCTTTAAAATGCCGCTATCCAATGTAGATTGAATGAAGGAAATACTCGAACGAAAAGTACTGGCAATGGCATTGATGATTAACAGATTTGTTGTTCAGTTTTGAAATTTTCAATTTCATATGGAAGTTTGTGAAGTATGTCATCTCAGTTTACTATTCCATTCTGTGATAACTGATGAGTGATGACTAGTGATGAGTGCTTTTGCAAACTAAAACTTGCACTTCTAGTAATTTAATACCTGAATAATGCTGGATTCAAGAATCTCATTGCTCAGCCGTGAATCTTGTAATATTTCTAGTCAATGTAATTTTTGTGAAGTCATTTTGTGATATTGTCAAGTTATGCTAGCTTAATGTCGTTGACTTATTGGAATTAGCAAGATTGTTTATATTTTTCATAATGTTTGAGTTGTTGACCTTGGCAGTGAGCTCTTTTTTGAAGTTTTCAGATTTCATATTCTCGTGAAAGTTTCCTGCTGTGATGACTGAAATTCACAGAATATAAAGACGTCTACAACACTTTTGTATTTTTCATACTTGTTTACTATAGTTATGGCATTACTTCATGGTCCAATTCATTCAAAATCATTACACAATCGGATTTAGTTAGTAGTTACTGCAGCACGGTACACAGTGGTAAATACCGTGGTACTTGAACAAAAACCTTGGTATACCGTGGTACTGAATGTTTCGTGGTACCCGACACTATAGCAAAGCGGACATTATTTCACAGGGTTCTTCACGTGCTTCACATGCTCTATGGACACATGATGGATGTTATGTTTGTCTGGTTTTGATAAAACAGACAATTTTGATATATGTTTCAAGTTCAAATTCTAGTGTAACCTTCGTAACGTGTTGCAAGTTACAGCATATATTGATATTGCCTTTTCTGAATTATTAAATTGATATTAATGGTATTGTTTCATGTTTATGCTTATATTTGAGAACTTCATGTCAAATTATAACCTCCGTAACAGGGAGAATGTACATTTGGCATGATTGATCATGTCGTTTGTTTTGCAGTTATGTAAACTGTGGTATTCTTAATGTTCAAACATGTGAAATCTTGATAAAGTTATTGTTTTAACTGATTATGGTGTAAGTTTTAGATAAACACATCTGGAATGAAACATTTAATTTCCGTGTAAGTGTTTCATCAGACACGAATGTTTTCACTTAACAGTATCTGATTATAGTGAGTGAGTAAGTTGAGTTTTACGCCGCAATCAGCAATATTCCAGCTATATGGCGGCGGTCTGTAAATAATCGAATCTGGACCAGACAATCCAGTGATCAACAGCGTGAGCATCGACCTTCGCAGTTGGGAATTGATGACAAATGTCAACTAAGTCAGCGAGTCTGACCACCCGATCCCAATAGTCGCCTCTTACGACAAGCATGGGTTACTGAAGGTTCATTCTAACCCGGACCTTCAGGGGTGTATCTGATTATAAAACCTCGAGGTAAACAAAGTTCATTGTGCTTCAACAGAATTCCTATTCCTCTTTAATTTGACAAATATGCAACTCGCTTGTCAGAAATATAAGACGGTACATTGGGAGGTGGTATATCTCGAAAACCCAAAATATCTTGTGAGTGAAATTTTGTTTTGAATAGGTTGGATGTTTGTTTTCAAGAAGTAAATGTCATTTTATTAATATTAGATATTTTATTCTTGGTGTATGTGTAATCACAAGTGAGTGAATTATGCTGGAATGACTGATATGATCTTTGAACGAGTGCATCCTCATGGTGGGATATGTTGAGAATTCAGATCCATCTCTGATTATCAAACTTGTGAGAATATGATTTGGGAATTTGGGTTTACACGGGTGTCTGTCAGATTCCATGTATAGAACAACGACATTTTAGTTAAATATTAAATTATTGTGACAAGGAAAATTGCAATAATATTACACACCAATAAATCGCAACATTTTATAATGAATATTTTGTTTAATCAATGTAATATCAATCTAACGCAAATCTTGTCTATTTTCGTGATCGCGTGGAGCAATAACGCATAATACAAGGTCATTAAAGTGAGTGACACCATCCCGTTTACTCATCCCGTTTACATAAACATATAACAGATGATATATTTGGGATTACACTTTCTTAGTAAAGTACAAATTCTAGTACTTTTGTTGGGTTGAATCCCATCCGGGATTCGAACCCACACCATCAGAGTCAGGCACCTAATCGCCAGCACACAAAGTCAGCCGCCTAACCCGCTCAGCCACCGCAACTTCCACAAAAATGGAAGTCAGACAACTGGTAGTCTAGACTGCGGTCTTTGTGTACCCCTCTGAAGTGTAAATTGGCACGGCTCCCATGGCCGAAATCTATTTGGTAACTAAATGGCACTGTGTAATCATTCTCTGATCTTGTCTGATCGTGAAGAAAGTTTCAGCCATATGTATGGCGTATCAAGGCGACAATGAGTCCTGAGATCATAGAACGTTTATTAACACTCTAAAACCGTTAAGTCCGAAAAAAACTATCAATGACTTACAGTAAGGAAAGTAGTTCAAATGTGTTTCTCACCCACAAAGAACTTTACGAAAAAGAATACTCAACAGAAAATTAATGGATGTCATCATTGGATGAAATGTTTTGCCAACTGAATTACGTGACTGTAGTATATGGAGATGTAATAAAAAGTACCGTCTTTATCGTTCTTGAAATTACTCATTGAAGTCAGACTCAAAGCTGCCTGTCGATATATAAGGACATCATCACGAATCGTGAAAGTGTATGTCAGAACATCATTACAATATATGAAATTAAACCTGAAAAAATCTTATTTGACTTCTGTTGAAATGCAGCAGCTCACAAATGATACTTATACATTTCCAGTAAATGCATAAGGAGTAACATGAAGGACGAAAGCAATGAATATCATGATCTGTTATCTACTGACCGCATCTCAAAAGTAGATAAACACCATGTCTACATTATATATACATACAAATATGTACATATTGCATATTAAAAAAAAGAGAGGCAAATCTTTAAAAATAATTGAAAATATTAATATAAATTTGTGTACAGTACATGTAAGTATGAATTTTCTGAAATTATATATACTCCATACTCGAAGCGCCTAAACAATCTGATTATTATTATCCTTGAGAACCCAAGCTGCCTGTGAGGCGCTAGAAGGTTTGTGGTTACATGCCTTATCCCAACGGGGACCCATTTTCTGCTGGGTGAACAGAGGCAATTTTGAACAAACTTACTTGCCTAAGGTGAGACCACATGTCTGATGTGCTTCATTGTGGGGCAGGACTGAAGTCCTAGAAACTCTCAGGAGTCGAGCTGCCAAACGCAGTCACCCATCGAAGGACTCTCCGCTCCCAGCGTTGCTTAACTTCACCTGAGTCAGGACTATATCATGAGCATGTGTTTATGAGCCACTAACAAAAAGTGATGATACCAGATGTTCGGAAAGAGGAGGATATCCTGCCCCACTGGTGGCAATCGTATTAAACACATGCAAAGGCAAGCCAACTTTTAACCTAAAAAATATTATATAAAATTGTAATAAGTTTGATATATTACAGAGTTCAGAATGCTGTTAGACCACATTACATCATTGGTTTGTCTTCAGTCTTTTCTATCATCCAATACAATATCATCCAATATACATAAGTATATATTGTGCAAAATGAAAAAAAAGAATAAACCCCCCAAAAGATCTGACTGAGTTTTGCTGGTATTCATACATAATGGATACCAAATATGACTTTCTCATGTCTGAATGCATTGGGGGTGATTTTGTGGATAGATTACAATACGGCCAAAACATACCGAGAAAGTGGGGCCAACCCAAAAACGCAACCAATTTGGAGAGTGGCGGCCAACATACCAACATGAAATGAACGTGCAGCATTGATTATTGGACTGCGAAAACAGTGACTCTTCATTGTTCTGTCATCACAATTCTACAGCAAGTGAAAAGTGAAAAACAGGCCACAACTGACAGAGGTTTAACCCAACGACGCCATCGGCCGACTGCAGACAGGCGACTCTGCTTCGGTCGTTGCCAGGTTTTCCCACATATCGCCAAGCTCCATTGCAAGAATATGGAACCGATATCAGACGCAGGAGTCACCTATCCAGGTCCGGCTGACCACCTGCAATACCTGGGTTGCAGGACAGGTTCGTTCGGTTCGTCACTTACATGCTGAGCACACCCCAGTCACATCTACAGCTACAGAAAAGCCAGTGTTGTACAGGACTTCGGCCCTGATCCCAAGGAACCATCATCAGGTATTCGCCCAAGGCGACCAGTTTGAGGCGTCATTCTCACTGATCAATGGTGTCAGGATTACAGAGTATGGCCACAACAGCGATACCTGTCTGTTAGTTTCAATGACGAGGTATTTGCATCTCCGTACAGACGTGTTAACATACGTCGTTATAAACATTATGCTAGAAACTGCATACTGGAAGTGGACAGGTTTGGTGGGGATAGCGTTATGATGTGGACCAAAATCTCCCATACCGGAAGAACAAACTTGGTACACGTCAAGGACAATTTAGAGGTACATCGTTACACAGATGAAATTCTTTGTTCACACGCCTTTCCCAGTATGCAAAACGCAAACGTTATTTTTCAACACGGCAACTATCGACCACACACGGCAAGACTGTCAAAGGTCTTGTAACGATCCACCACAGCCCAACACTGACATGGCCCTCAAAGCCTCCGGATCTAGACACCATCGAACATTTATGTGGGCGAACATTCCCAAGGCCACAAATCGCAATCTGAATGATTCAATGGGGGATGGTGCCCGGCAGCTCTGGGTAGTCGTGGGGAGAAATACAAGATATTGAGAACATATGACCTACACCTTGACATTCGATTTTTCATGTGTGCCATGATGAGCCTCAGTCAGTAACAATGGGTTGAGCCAAGTTTTGACAATTTTATTTTATCTGTTGATTTTTATATTGTACAGAAAGTACATATTTGCGTTTCTTTTTTTGCAGAGTATAACAGTGTATGAAATAAGCCAAAAACCCAGCCAGACATCGGGGATGGTAACTTCAAACACCAGTCCTTCTTAAATCCTAAATAGGCAGTGCCAGTGGACACGTTATCTGAATATTTTTTTTTCACCCGTCCATCGGGCTGGCTAGCTGTAAAATTAGACCGTCCGGCAGAAATCTAGCCCGTCTCAGGTGGTCGGACAGGCCTTATTTCATACACTGAGTAGAATTCATGGAAAGGTACCTGAATGCCTTCAATTAAAACCATGCGTTATGTATCATTCTTTACGCACACAACAAAAAGGAAACCGAGTCAATAATGTTTATGCAGCCATCGACCCTCACCTTTAGGTCGGGTCATGTTTTTTTGGAATATTTTCTACAAAAGAAGATATTCCAACATAGCGAGAAGCTTGATCACTTATGTCTTCGCACTTACAGAACTACGGATGATCTGAATGGCTGTAATTTGCCGACCCCGCAAAATCACTAGCTCTTACTTGATAGGATCTTAAGTCTGATCGTCACGATATGGCTGAAATATTGCCGATGTGACGTTAAATAATAACTCACTCACTCACTCACTCTTAAGTCTGAGCATATCATTTTTGTTTCGCTGACGAGGATGAAGGTGCGCTTGGATAATCACTCGTTAAAAAAACCCCAAACCACTTTCAGTTAAATCAATAATGTAGAGCCACAGTTGACAGATCACCTCTAGCAAAGTCTGACGAAAGTAGCAGTACATCATACATGCGATTCATCCAGAACAGTATTGAAGACACACAGGCATAACAGTACAGAATGAATCCAACATTGGCTCTATATTATTGGACTTCTGTTTGTATTTGGATTCCATCAGTCATCGGTGAGTATATATTTCAAAGTACAGAAGAACATTTAAAGATTTGAAACATTTAGTCACAGGCAAAGTGTGTATGTTTGGCCGATATTTCTGTATCTGTCTGTAGCAGGAGGAGGACATATCATCAACATGATGCAAAAAGGATAATCACAGTAGAACACATCAATTACAATGTAGAACATTCTTAATGCTTCGTTTGGAATACATGTATAAGCAAAAGAAAGAAAAGCAGAAGCAAAAATTAGAAATTATTGTGTTAATATACTTTGATTGATGAGGATGAAACTTTAGATTTCGGTAGCCACATGCTATGTAGACATAAAGGCAGTACTGGTCGTTCTGTCAGAAACACGTTGACGTACATGTCTTTCGAGCTCATCCCACAGATGTTTGGGTTCATATAGGAGATCTGGAAGCCCCGGACGAGACGCTTACGTTTGAATTATGCGCGACGCTTTTTGTCGAGTAGCTTTGTCATATTGAAATATTGTATTTGGATTCCATCAGTCATCGGTGAGTATATATTTCAAAGTATAGAAAAACATTCAACGATTTGTAACATTTTAGTCACAAGCGAAGTGCATATGTTTGGCCGATATTTCTATATCTGGGACTTATCATGAACCTAATGCAAAAATTGTAGTCAAAATAGAACTCATTAAATACAATGTAGATCATTCTTTATACTTCGTTTGGGATAGTTGATAAGCGTAAATATATAACTAGAAACGGTATTAAAATGAGGAGAGAAGTTCGTCATTGAAATTCTGTCTGATAAATTTAGTAACTCAAAGGGTCAGTTAACAAGGACAAGTTAAGAAAATATTAGTGATAAGGCCTGACACTCATTCCTTCTTGAAGAATTTGATGAATTATAACACAGCACGTGCATCTAAAGCTAGTAAGCTGATCTCAGACTAGCAGACATCACACCCTTACTGGAATAATCCTGCTGTTTTAATGATGAGGTTTTGTGTCAAAGAATATGAATGATGCGATACATGTTTACTGGCGCACTAGCACGAACATCTCCTTTCTATATACTGAAACCTGCCGAAAAGATATCTTTAGACGAATATGTGATCAATCACATAAGAGATTTCATGGGGGACATAACATGAATTAAAGTATATTGTCTTCAAATATAGAAAGAAGAAAGAAAAGCAGAAGCAAACTTTGGAAATTATTGTTTTCAATCAAATTTCATATAATTTGATTGGTGAGGATAGCTAGTCACATGTTACATGTTATGTAGACATAAAGGCAGTACTGTTTACACTGTCACAAGACACGTAAGTCCACGAGAGGGCGTTCCCATCAATACCTATGATGAGAACCGTGTCTAGTTCTCCCCTACACTTCTTGCAACGCGTTGGCCATCTGTGCATGCGTCTGTAGCGTACGTTGACGTTGACGTACATGTCCATCGAGTACATTCCACAGATGTTTTGGGTTCAGATAGGAGATCTGGAAGTCCCGGACAAGATGCCGACGTTTGAATTATGCAGGACGCCAACAGAAACACGAGCTGTTTGTGAAGTAGCTTTGTGACACTGAAACAATTCCATCTGTCGGTTAATAATCGAAAGATGGTGACGTTGAAGAATTTGGATTTCCCTGAAGTACCACCATGTCAGAAGTCCGTGTCTTGGATACGTTTACTTACACCGCCACTTCAGCCACCAAATCATCTGTTGAACTTTGTTTGGTGCGTTGCTCTATGTGAAAAGAGTATGAGGATTTTTTTATTAATAATGATAAATTTGCATTCAAGGTTCATATTGAAATACACAGGTAAAATCAACATAGCTCTGGGGAAACCAGCTAGCCAGAGCACTACATGGCGCAACTTCTCGGCGTCTCGGGCAAATAACGGCAACAGAGCTAGTCACTTCAGCAGCGGAAGTTGTTCCCATACAGAGCACGAGACTACAAACTGGTGGCAAGTGGATCTCCAAGGAATGTACTCCATAGCCTCAGTCTTCATTGTCAATAGAGACACACAAATAACCGGTAAGGAATCTACTCCATAGCCTCAGTCTTTAATGTCAAAAGAGACTCACAAGTAACCGGTAAGGAATCTACTCCATAGCCTCAGTCTTTAATGTCAATAGAGACTCACAAGTAACTGGTAAGGGGTTTACTCCATAGCCTCAGTCTTTAATGTCAATAGAGACTCACAAGTAAACGGTAAGGAATCTACTCCACAGCCTCAGTCTTCATTGTTAATAGAGACTCACAAGTAACTGGTAAGGAGTCTACTCCATAGCCTCAGTCTTTAATGTCAATAGAGACTCACAAGTAACCGGTAAGGAATCTACTCCATAGCCTCAGTATTCATTGTCAATACAGGAACACACCGGAAGCCGGTAAGATTTACCTGTTCGGATAAACTATGGGTAAAACGTCTCCCGTCATTGGCCAGTCGTGGAAAATGGCCAGCTAGTGGAATAATATTAGTTGTTCACTGGTCACGAGGGGGGCATGGGTTGATGTACCAAGAAGTTGGGCTCAGGGAACATAAACAAACATCGAGGGTACATCAACCCATGGGCCCCGAGGGACCGGTGAACAACGTATTTATCTTACCTAACACCTTAATGTTAATTTAGAATTGTTTGGAGCAGGGGTACAAATCTTTTGTATAGTTCTTTTGTTGTTTCTGCTAGGTAATGATGAATACCGAATGATAGCTTTAAGGTAAAATCGTCCCTTCTCTTATTTTGTTAATTCGGAATATGTAAACATACTAAAGACGTTCTGAGAGTTTGTTTTTATTTGATAGGCTACTACGGCTACTTCCTGCAGGACATCGAAGTCCACGTGTTCCAGGAGGCACCGTCATCTGGTCTCCCAAATGGAACGGTGTGCGCCACCCATATACCAGCCATGGGCGCAAATGCCACCCTGCAGTGTGAGGCCCCTGTCATAGGAAGGTATCTTAGAATCTACAGACGATCAAGTGAAACGGTGGAAACGCCGAAACTGGTCTTCTGTGAAGTTGAGGTATATGGACGTCCAGTTACAACATGTGGAGGTATGTGGGGGTAAATAAGGGCTGTTTCTCATCATTATAAACCACAAGGTGTGGACACAGTTCTGTTATGGTCATTCATTTGTCACATCTCATCACAAAGTGTATGATGACAATAAATATTTTTTATTCTTCTGACAAAGGTGTGCATCCACACATAAATGTTCACATATAAAAACATATCAATATCTCACAGACAATATTATATTTACGATAAGAATCTAATATAACATCCAACTATAACAAAATTACCCCAAAAGTACATATTGATGTATATCTTCAGTAATCAAGACAAGTCAAGGAAAGCAAGCAATCTGTGATAAAAAGGAAGTACATTCAAGCGGATCTGCGATTATGTGTTCGATATTGTGCCTACGGTCAAGAGTTTGCAGGGCTTACAACTACGTCAGGCAAACCCCTCCTGTGTGTGAACTCATCTACGATATATCAGTCATAGATCGCTTTGAAGCAAGTGCAATTGGAGATTTCTATGAACTTATATCCGAATGAAATCATCCAACAAGCAGCATCCGACAAGGCAAGAATTTTTTATTAATGTAATTTACAGATGTTTCATAGGCATACTGTATTGGTAAAAAAGACTATGAAAATTATATATCTGGTATTTTTGCTATAAAGCGACTCACAAATATGTGATGATCTAAATGGCAGTGGGGCGGTGGGGTAGCCTAGTTGTTAAAGCATTCGCTCGTCACGCCGAAGGCCCGGGTTTGATTCCCCACATGGGTACAATTTGTGAAGCCCATTTCTTGTGTCCCCTGCCGTGATATTGCTGGAATATTGCTAAAAACGGTGTAAAACCATACTCTGTCAAATGGCAGTAATTTGTTGACACCTCAAATCAGTAGTTCTCAGGTCTCACCCTATCATTTTTTGTTTCCTTGAAGAGGATCAACGTACGCTTGTATGATCAAGTGTTAAAATATCCAGACTCCTTTCAGTTAAATCAATAATGTAGTGCCACTGTTGACAAATCACCTTCGCCAAAGTCCAACGCAAGCAGCAGTACATAATAGATGCCATTTACCCAGACCCGTATTGAGGCACACAGGCAAAGCAGTACAGAATGAATCCCACATTGGCTCTATATTATTGGACTTCTGTTTGTATTTTGATTCCATCTGTCATTGGTGAGCATATACTTCAAAGCATAGAAGAACATTAAAAAAAATTATAACATTTATTCACAGGCATAAGTGCGTCTGTTTGGTCGATATTTCTGTGTCTGTATCATGTAGCAGGAGGAGGACATATCATTGTACGTAAAGCAAAAGGGTAATCACAGTGCGACACATTAACGTAGATCACTCATTATACTTCGTTTTCAATACATGTATAGACCAAAAAAAAAGAAAAAAAAGAAAAGAAAAGCAGTAGCAAATTTTAGAAATTATTGTGTTCAAATTTCATATACTTTGATTGATGAGGATGAAACTTTAGATTTCGTTAGTCACATGCTATGTAGACATAACGGCAGTAATGGTTATTCTGTCACAAACACTTGACGTACATGTCTTTCGAGCTCATCCCGCAGATGTTTGGGTTCATATTGGGGTTCTGGAAGCCCCGGACAAGACGCTTACGTTTGAATTATGCGGGACGCTTTTTGTCGAGTAGCTTTGTCATATTGAAACAATTCCCCTGTCGGCTGATAGTTGAAAAAACGTGAACTTGAAGAATTTTGGTCAATGCGGATTTGTTCTATGAATCCCCTGAACCACCACCTTGTTAGACGTCCGTGTCTTGGATAGGTTTCCCCACGCTGTCACTTCAGCTTCCGAATAATCTATTAACCTTAGTTCGGTGCGTTTCTTTATGTGAAGAATGTTTAGGGAGGCACCGTCATCTGGTCTCCCCAATGGAACGGTGTGCGCCACCCATATACCTGCTATGGGCGCAAATGCCACCCTGCAGTGTGAAGCCCCTGTCATAGGAAGGTTTCTTAAAATCTACAGACGATCAAGTGAAACGGTGGAAACGCCGAAATTGGTCTCCTGTGAAGTTGAGGTATAACAACATCTGGAGGTATGTGGGGGTAAATAAGGGTTCTGTGTCTCATCGTAATAAACCACAAGGTGTGGATACAGTTCTGTTATGGTCATTCATTTACCACATCTCATCACAGAGTGTATGATGACAATAACTGTCGCTGTTTTCATTCTTCTGACAAACGTTTGCATTCAAATACAGATGTTCACATACAAAAACATGCCAGGGTCTCACAGACAATATTATTTGTTTCCACATAAGACGGAAGTATTTTCTAGTACGATAAGTATCTAATATAGCAGCCAACAAAAACCATATTTCCTCAGAATATCTATTGATGTATATATTCAGTACTCACCTTCAAGGCCAATCAAACAAGTATTGTCACTAAGGTGACATAAACCCCCGCCGCAAATTATTAAATCAAACTTAAAAGTAATGAAAGTTTAAGATGAAGTTAAATATCAACAAAAACATGACCAGTCAACCTCTCTTGATATCTGGCTCTTTAGTTGTTCAAAACACACACGTTTTCAAGACTGACTTTGACCTTGACATGAATGTCATAGTGTATGAAATATGAAAAAATGGTACTAAAGAAATTGCTTATTGAAAAACATTCAAGGGAAGTCTTGAAAGTCTATGAAGTAAATCCGCTTTGAAGCAAGGGCAATTGCAGATTTCAGATTTCCGAATAATTTCGTACTTTGAAGTTTACACAGATTCCCGAACGTTGGTTGGTTGAGAGAGCGGTCATGTGATCTAAATTTCAAGGTTCATTTCCCTTGAACACTTCAAATCGTTCCTACGTGTGTAAACATCGTTCATACTTATATCAGTGACTGATGTCGTTCGTGTTGTAATGTGTGTGTAATGGGTATATGTATTTATTATAATTCCAGCGTCCATAACGCAAGACAAATTCTCTTCTTGGGCAATAAAGTATTATTATTATTATAACGTGTGTGAACGTTTTCGAGCCGATCTGGGTCATGTGAACTTTTGCCGGAACTACTTTCCCGGTTTTCCCCAGGATACTCGCTGTCCAGCTTGACGTAAACAAAATAAATCATTCATTTTGCATTCACACTCCTTTTAATTTATACATATCACTTACTTGTATTTGTATGTAACAAAAAGCACCAACTGAGCACAGTTTTGCAAAAATCTGACCGACAACGCGTCCGACAACAAGTCCCAGCCAGTGCGAACTAATTTTCAAATTTCCGCTACGGTTTCACGGAACCCAAATGATCTTGCTGCATTTGGTGATGACAATTTAGAGAGCGATCCTGTTTCAAGTCACCCCCAATTTTGGCAATGTCGCTTCTTCACGACCACACGGATTTCCAATTGTCGAGCATTGTTCCTTATCACAAGACTATTAATCTCTTGCGGTTTGCGGGTTCTGCCCCGTGATCTGTTTAAAAACTGCTCACTAAATTTCACAATAAACAATCACAAATAAATAGAATACACCAACGAGATCTGCTTCCTATTCGCCACGCCCCACAACTTCGAAGTCAGTCAGTGTATTATTACGCGGTCAAACGAATCCGTCATAGTTTTATAGGTACAATGACAGTTTGTTTAAATGAAATTGTTATTGATATTTGTTTCTGTTTGATAATTTTATTGATGTTATGCTTATTAAAACAGTTTCAAACCTATTGACGAATTTGTTGTAATATTTTAAGGACTACTTTGAGAACTATTTCTTCAAGGGTTGGGATACATGTGTAAAAATATCGCCAAGTATACAAACATCGCTACAATACGGTCTTGAACAGAATGACATTACGACATTATGTTAAACACGTATTAAAACACATCACTGTAAACAATGATCATGTAGAAGTGGGTACAAAACGCATGTGTAAACATCAAAGTGCGAAATTATAAGAATTGAATGTCACCTGTGTGTTGCACTGAAAAATGAACGATGTCAAAGCGTTGTTCAAACTCTCGTGTGAACTCGCTCGTTCACACGAGTTTGAACAACGCTTTGACATCGTTCATTTTTCAGTGCAAACACACAAAGTGACATTCAATTCTTAAATGAAATCGTCAAACAAGCAGCACCCGGCAAGCCAAGTTCTGATTAATTTAATTTACAGATGTTTCATAGGCATACTGTATTGGTAAAAAAGACTATGAAAATTATATATCTGGTATTTTTGCTATAAAGCGACTCACAAATATGTGAAGAAGTATGTACAGATAGAAAGGTGCCTCTTCCTATTCATGTTCTCATGTCATGTACTAACTTTTGGAAACGTATGAAATTAATCTTATTTAAGTACGTGTCTAAGATACAAGCAAAACATTTTAGAAAGTGGTGAAAGAATACCATTTGTGTTTCTAGATGGACACGATTTCACGAACATATGAAGCAAAACAGTTAATGAAACAAATGAGAGGGGGCTACTCAAAAGACAATGTACAAAATATGTTTTGGGTTAATTGAATTGGTTTCTATACTTAAAGATGAATGAGGCGTTTGTGAAGAAACATGTGTTTCGTCAAAAATGAACACAAAAGACAATGAGGGCTAGCATGACCAAGACTAAAGGTCCACAATGACAAGAACTATTGGGCTCGAATAGTATACAGAATAGCCTAGTCCAGCTTCTCGTCCCCCAGCTTTTCTCCTGTCTTTTGTTCTGTAATTAAAGCATTTCCATCACATTTCAACAAATACAAATTGTAACAAACTATTTCTGGTTGAGTTTTTGAGGCTTGTTTATCCAGAATATTCTTTCTATATAGTTTATGACAACATTTGTGTGTTTCACAATACCACAAAGACTAAGAGTGTGTTTGATGTTGAGCTTTCCAATTTGTGTGCAATACTTTGTGTGGGAATAGATGTTTACTCATTCAAACCGTCACGCATGCACGCACGCAAACACATGCACCTATTTACACACTCACTCGTATGTATGCACAAATAGTTTCCAGGGGTCCAGATAACTTTTCAACATCAGGAGTACGTACTCCTTATTTT